AGCTTGCACTTCCGATTTTAACAAACTATTTATAGAAATCTGCCTGATCGTAAGGCGGAGCATTTGCGCGGACGGATTTCTGGCATAACCCCCACGTTGTCGGATAATTGAAAAAAGATTTTCAATAATATCTTGATTTAATCGAGATGTTGTTATAAATTGTTTCCCTGTGCATTTTTCTTCATTATAAAGTTGTAAAACAGCCTGAACCGTTTGAATAACCCCGTCGAAACAGGGAGGTCTGGTAAACTTATTACTTTTCTTATCCTTTTTTTTTAATTGTGAAAATATGTTTATAGCTTCATATAAAATTAATACATCCTCCGAAGCATCGGAAAGTGTGCATTTGAAAGGATTTTTACTGTATCTGGTACAAGCCATTTGTCCATAAACATAATGAAATCTGCAGTGTCAGTAGCTGTTGAACTTTTTAGCTCGCCTGTTGCTATCGATGTTTTTAATGCCGACGCAACGCTTTTGCTTAATATTTGGGCGGCCAGTTTTACCGATAATTTCTGAAACGGCGAAGGATATAAATGAGCATTTGAGATTTTGAGTAAACATCTCGCCCCTGACTTTGACTTTTGATCAATATGATATAATCTTCTGATATCTTGAAAAGAAATTGTTTTATTTTTTAGTATATAATCGCCGGTTATCAAATTGTTTCATATGCTTTTCAAAAGATGAGGGGCATCAAAAAGTGCAAACACTTTTCGCGTATTTTTAAACATGAAATAAGGTTTTTTAGAAGTTACAGCTAATTTATTGTACATACTGCGATCATTCGAACCCTGATCATATACAACCGCCTTTACAATGAGTCCTAAATGTTCAACTGTTTCTAAAATTGCGAATACCAGTTCCTTCAATCTTACACTAGTTGTTGCACTTCCTGATAAAAAATATGCTATTGGAACTTTCCAATTGGTATATAGTCCTCTTGCCATAAATACCAGCGCTTCTTTACAAAACAATTTTGTTCGTCCCAAGGGTCCGAAATCTTCTATACCTTCTATAATGTCCAACTGTTTGGAATATTGAATATATTTTTTTACAGACATTTCATCAAATACAATTATACAACGCTTATCATCTTCTGACATTGTATTTACCTTAATTGCTAATTGTTTTAAATAAGGTTTATTAAACCCAGGTAGAAAAGTCGAGATTCCTATCCAACGTTTAATTGTTGATACAGACGGTAAAACTATTTTTTGTCTTAATAAATGTTTATACGCATTTGGTGCTTTATAATATAAACTAAGTGAAAATTGTTTTTCATTGTATGTCCAGTGGCCTTTTGTTTTATGCAGTAATTGCATTGCCGCAAATGTTCTATGTTGAGGGGAATGATATTTTATAACACTTAGACAGGATTGTAAATTGTTTGATAGTGTGGTGGTAGTTAATCTTTTTTTTAGTTTTTATATTGTTGACTTCGCATTTTTACATTTCAGTCTGAGTTTATCGTATTTTTCCTTTAATTTATTTAAAGCACAGGGTATCTGACTATGATGGGAGTTCGGTGACGGAAATTCTAGATACTCACTTGGAAACTTCTTTTGAGAAGGCGAACTATCTGATACTGGTGACGATTTAGAACTTTTATCAGGGGATAGAAAACGTACCTCGCCATGTTTAGAAGGCGCCAATTTAAGGTCACAAAAAGACATTTGTGAGTAAGTCTTTTCTGGTGTTTTAACCTTCAGGTGTTCTGGCGAAATATTTACACAGTCCTCCATAATCCGATATGGTTGCGGAACTGCTCCCCTTTGTAAACGATGAGAGTCAGTATACAATTCCGATTTAAAGTGCAAACTGCACACTACTTTCTTTCTTAATGACTCTGGTGATAAGCCAATTAAGTTGACGTTTCCTATAAAAAACATACATGGCATTTTGAGTAAAATACTTTATTATAAAATATAATTGTTATTTCTTTGTTTAAACGAAGTTTAGAAAAGAGGTACGTTTGATTTCAGAGCTCGGAAAAGATTATTATTAGACTATTATTAATATATAGAGAATAAGCCGAACTAAACAGATTTTCCGATTAAACAGATCACAGTTTTCAAGAATTGTGAAATTCAAGAATTTAACAGAATTTCTGACGTTTTGGTATGTTGGAAATAAATGAAATATTTTAAGAATATTCTCGTTGGTTTTTGTTTGCAACATAATCGAATTCAAGCTTATATCTCAAGAACGAATGCAGATTGGAAAAAAATGTTATTCTTTATTTTCGATTTAAAATGAATTTATGTACTAGAAAAATTCTAGAATTTTGCTTTTATAAATCTTTTGGTTGTTACCAGCAAGGCGACAGTGAAAATGAAACTGAAGCCGATTATTTCGAAAACAAAAGCCAATCGGAAAAAATTTTATTCTTTCATTTCGACTTAAAATTGGAAGATTTCAATTTGATACTCTACTTTTGAATGATCTGTATATAGCGTGCAAATTTAGAATTTAAAAAATAATGGTTACAAAAATTATATTTTATATATAATTTTATAATTTGATATGTTACTAACTCCTTCAATAAAATATTTTTTTTTCTTTTTGCAATTGTTCTAATTGATTGATAACACGATTAAGCTGTTTTAATGTCCATTAAAACAACTTTAAAAATTATAACTTACCGCAATTCTTCACCCACTTATCGATTCTTCTTTCATCGTTATTTTTTTCAGTTGGAAAATGATGAAATTTGAGTTCTGGATTTTTTGCTTTGCTGGTGGCACAATTTATATATACACATCTATTTCCAGACATTTTATTGTTTATTTATTACTTATGTTTGTTGGGAATATAACAAACAATGGAATCTATTCAGTGCTATAGAATAATATATAAAATAAACATTATATTAAATTTTCGAAGACTATTAAAGAGACAAAAAAGTTTGAATGAAAGTTTTAGAATACTTACATCTATCCACCTGAACTTTTCTTGAAGGTAGGGCGCACTTAGAAAACAAACACTCGTATTAAAGAATAGTTTATTACGCAACACGTAATTATTGAACGGCAATTGATACGGGGTCCGAACAAAGAATGCATCTTTTCGGAAATCGACAGCGGTTCGAGCGTCGAGGGGCCTTAAATAAACAAATAGCAGGTACAAATGTATACGCTCATTCTCTCTAAACATAAACAGAATCAGTGTGTACAGTTTCATCATGAAAAATATCAAATGTGTAAATTAAAACGCATAATTGCTAACAATATACATAAACAATCTTTATATATAAAAATATTTTAATTTTATTTGTATATGTACTTATATCGTCAATCCTGCTTAATTTCAACAAAATGCGAATCTGTATTTTCGGTTCTCTGAAATTTTCTTATGTTTGCTCAAAATATCGCGCCTTCAATTAGCCGTCCCTGTGCAGTAAACAACCAGTACACCCATACGCGGCTGCCCCGAATCTATTCGTAAAAACCTAAAAACACGAAATATCGATTGATTGATAAAGCCGCCGACCGAGATTAATACCAATGTATACATAACTGAACTTGCTCGATAAGAATGGTCTTAATTACCTACAATTTTCGATTTACTATTGATTTAATTTTATATTCAGTCGATTAATTTTGCTTTTTTTAAAGTTCATTGTAGGCATCTGTAAAATATTTTGATGTGGAATTGTTAATGGTTTATTATCTGATTTAACTCCTAGATGGAACACTGTTCGTTAAGATATAAAAATAAAAACAGATTTAATCGCTAGATGGCGACATCAAAAATTAAATCTTTTATGGGTTGCCAATTCTTTCTATCTCGTGAGCTAACTATATTCTCTATAAACAATGGTTCTAGTTTTGCACTAGCACTAGAATTAACACAAATCCTAGAACTAGAATCATTCGGGTTTGGCCGTCTTGAAAGACTAGCCGCACGTCTTGTAGGTATATTAACAATAATTATTAGTGTTTTTTAGTAACAGATTTCATTTATTATAAAATATTGCTGTGTAGTAAAAGATTTTTGTTTTTCTTTTATTAAGACAATCTACTTTGTAGGAGTGATAAAAAGTAATAAAGATTCTTTTAAATAAACAACTTGGTTTTATTTAAAAAAGAATTTCTTAATTGATTTCCCTAAAAGCCCCTTAAAAAATTTTATAGGTTATGTTTACATTTATATTTGTTAATTTGACAGTTAAATGTCAAAAAGTGACATTGATTATTAATTTGACGTAAATTTAACCTTCATTTATAAACAATTTATTCGTTGATTCAATTCAAATTATATATAATTTTTGTATTTATTAAAGCCACGTGTTTGTATTTCAAGTTATGTTTTAAGCATGCGTAAATATGAAATTGTTTTATTTTCATTCTTAATACTGCGCAGTAAAAAAAACGAAACAGTACTATCTACGACTAAGTTCTGAAGGCTAAATAAGACGTGAAAGAGAGACCCCGTTCTAATAGTGAAATACCGATAGTGACGCGATCCGTAACCGAAAATAAAACCGTTTTGTAAGTTGTGTTGTCGGTATATATTTTGTATGCGGCGACACTAAAAAAAATTAGAAATTAATGTACCTGATATAATGTTGTGTCCTGAAGTGTGGAACTTCAAACCGCCACCCGTTGATTATCGCGTGGAAAGTGGCAAATTCGAAGATAATTTGGTCCAAGATTTCCATTTTAATCATTTGGTAAAAAAAAGTTCCATTAAAAAAGTGAGGTTATAAACTTTTATTTTCAAGGTCTCTGTTACTGTTCCTGGAAGTTTAAAATTCCCACAAGAGCTTAAAGATATCCTTACCCAAGATACTGAATATTATCAAATTGAAGACTTTAATTTGGGCGAATTAATCGAAGAGAAATTTTTGAAAGCTTTCGTAAATCAAGGTAAAAAAATTATATAATTAACTTAAACGAAATCTTTAATGTTACTTTTTTAAAGGAAATTTAAGCTGTTTAAGTATCGATACCAATATTGATACCCAAAACTGTTTGTGTATTATTCCAAATAAAACACTCATTTTATCCCTTTTAAAAGAAACTTATCAGTCTTTGGGGATACAAGGAAAAGTTTCTTATTTTTCAAAAAATAATCATTTCAAATACAGTAAGTACTCTTTCATTATAAATAGTAACATTTTATTATAACATTTTCAATTCATTTTACATTGAAACAGAAAACGTTCTTTATTTTAACCCAATAACTGCCAAATTTTTTTTTGTAGATATCTTAGGTTTTTGTTAAAAAAATATAAGTTATAAAAATATTTTTTAAAAAATACATCCAATTTTTGGTAGTCATTTAAGCCCCATGGCAGTTACAGAGAACGTTATGTGTTACCATTACATGTCTCATAAATGAGACTGTTGCAAAACATTTAATCGTCATTACAATGTTTTTTTTAATTTAAATTTTAAGTTATAACTTTTTTATGGACAATTGGAATTTTTTATTGGACAGTTACTGCATTCTTTTCTAACATGAGTTTTACATAAAGCTCATTTATGTTGTTTACTTTCTAATGTTCTTTTTAAAACATGGCTAGTAGAATCATATCATACTTCATATGGTATATTAATGCTTACAAACCGCGCTTGGTCGTCTTGGATGTTCTGAATTCTTTTTTGAGGTATGCTCTTGTAATTTGCCTCCTAAAGTTTAGAAGAGGTATGTTTTCATTTGTCATTGTATAGAGAACATATGCATTATAAAGAGCAACATCAATCGCATTTGTAAAGAATGGAAAATACCATTTTTTACCTCTCAATTTTATGCGATATTTCTGTACATTCCAATCTAATTTATCAACACCACCCATGTAGTGGTTATATTGTGCAATAGCAGCTTTCTTTTCAGATTTAGACAACCTTTTTACTTCATCTAAAGACCCCAGTCATAAATGGTTTGATAGTACTTTCACAGCATTGTTCCATTCCATATCACAGCTTTTCTTTTTTTATTTCTTTATCATTTTAGATGGGACGTTTGTTCATCCTATTATAATGTACTGTACCAGTTGCCTTTATACCATTTTCCTTTAATTTTACTGTTAGTTCAAAACTTGTAAAAAAGTAATTGAAATACAATTTGTATGGTTGCTGTAATATTTTTGCCATTTTCATTATGTCAAATTAATAATCAATGTCACTTTTTTGACATATTAAATGTCAAATTGACAAATATAAATGTAATCATAACCTATAAATTTTTTTAATGGGCTTTCATGGAAATCAATTAAGAAATTCTTTTTTTAAATAAAACCAAGTTGTTTATTTATAAGAATCTTTATTACTTTTAATCACTCCTACACAGTAGTATTTTTTAGTTTGCTACACACTAATATTTTATAATAAATGAAATCTATTACTAGTAAACACCAATTATTGTTAATTCACAGAAAGATTCTAGTTCTAGGTCCTGTATAAGTTCTAGTTTTAGTTCAATAAAAATATGCAACATAGTAATATCTCATGCTAACTAGCTCTAATAAGCACTGTCACTAGAACTAGAAGCATTCGGGTTTAGCCGCACGTCTTTTAAGACGGCTATGTACAGGGTTTTCCAATAAGAGGTGTTATTTTGATATTCAAAGAAAAATGCCATTTTTTAGTATAAATGATCGGATGTTTATTTCATTATAAAGAAGAAGGTATGCCGTTAATAGTGGAAAATAACATTAGGCAAATGACCACCACGACCACGCTTACAGGACAATATCCTTTCCATGAAATTTTCCATAACCAAATTGCAAAGTGGCTGCCCTATGTCCTCAATAGCCTCACGAATTCCATCTTTGAGGTCTTGAATCGACGCTGGGCTTTTGGCGTACACCTTCTCTTTCACGTGGCCCCAAAGGAAGATGTTAAATCACAAGATCTCGGTGGCCAATTGTGATCACCTCTTCGAGAGATAACACGGTCCGGAAACTTTTCCCGTAAAAGATCAATGGTTTCGTTGCTTGTGTGGCACGTAGCACCGTCTTGTTGAAAGTAAACGTTGTCCACATCAATACCATCCAATACCGGCCATAAAAAATCATTAATCATCTCTCGATAGCGCAATCCATTCACCGTAACTGTTGCTCCAGCCTCATTTTCGAAAAAGTAAGGTCCAATGACTCCGCCGGACCATAAACCGCACCAAACAGTAACACGTTGAGGATAGAGAGGCTTTTCAACAATAACTCTTGGGTTTTCCGAGCCCCAGATGCGACAATTTTGCTTGTTGACGAAGCCACCGAGGTGGAAATGGGCCTCATCACTCAAGATGATTTTTCGATGGAATTCCGGATCATTTTCATGCATTTCAACGACCCAATCAGCAAAGACACGACGTTGTTGATGATCGGACGGCTTGAGTTCTTGTGTTAACTGAAGTTTATAAGCCTTAAGATCCAAATCTTTATGCAAAATACGGAGTAATGACGTTTGTGGAATGCCTAATTCCAAAGAAAGACGAGGAATGGACAAACCTGGGTTCACCATTTTTATAGTGAATTTTAATAATTTCAATGCGTTGTTGAAGCGTGTATCGTTCCATTTTTATTAATGGCGTACTTTCTACTTGTCAAATTTAATGTCAAAAAATGACAGCTTCAAAAGTGACATCTATCGAAATAATGGGCTATTCAAAATAACACCTTTATAATGCTAGTTCTAATAACAGTACTAGTGTAAAAGTAGAACTAACACTATACCTAGAACTAGAAACATTCGGGTTTAGCCGCACGCCTCTCAAGACGGCTAAACCCCCACTAGCACTAGAACTAACACAAGACCTAGTAGAACTAGAATCATTCTGTAACATTTTTGCCATTTTCATTATAGCAGATGATCCTAAGCCACTAATTTGTTGTTCTTCCTATTTACTTCCTCTTCCAAGTCTTTGAAGAACTGATCATGTTCAAGTATATTTTGTAAGACAACAAGCGTTAAAACATTAACACATTAACTCACCTTAGGTATAAAATCTATATATGATGTTCAATTTTCAAATTATCAGAGTAAATTTAAAAATATATTTCTAAAAACTCTTGTAAACACTTTCGTTTTACTGCGACTTGCTAACTTTCTCAGATAACCTTAATTATTCATCAAAATGTTTCAAATGTTATCAAAAAATTACCTTCAATTTTATTACCATTTCTTATCTACTCTGTCCTGTTAAGTTAAGTAAACTTAGTTTTGTCATGTCAGTTTTTTGTTTTGCTCTCATTCATTTTATTTTCTAATTAATTAGAAATTAAATAAATTATCTCCAGTTCTCATTTGAGTACCATCACAGGAAATGGGTTAATCATTTAACAATTCTCACAAATCTTTTTCTGTTTAATTTAGTCGATGCCTTGCCACAAAGAAGTCCCAACATTAGAGACATTATGTCTTGGTGCTGTTGGTTCCGTGGTCGTAGCATTGGCCCCATCGATTTTATCCTCGATTAATGTATATTGCGAACCTCAGGCTACATTACAAAAACAACTGGATAAATTAGCTACGGTTTTATCAACGCACGTCCCGTTTTATTTACACGATGCGATGTCCGTTGAAGTTTTAAATTCAGTTAAAGCACTTATCGAAAAAACAAAAAAATCTTATTTCCCTCACATTTCAATGAACGCTTTTATGACCGAAATGAATGTTGTCGTGAGTTTAACGGAAGTTGTGTTAAATCATCGTTTAAGACACATTGATTTTTCGTTATGGCCGAAAATAATGAGATATGTGCTTTATAAAAATTTATATAAATTATCTGGAATGGAAGTTTTAAATTTGGGTTCTTGTACTGGTGGTTGGAGAACGAGCGATCACGATCGATTTATATTACAAGGTATCGGAAATATGAAGAATTTGAAATCTTTGTGTTTATGTTTTGATTGTACCGACGGTGTCATACAAATTATAGGAGAAAATTGTCCTAATTTGCAATGTTTAGATGTTACATCTTCGGGTTCGGTTACCGATAGATGCGTTTCTTCTTTATTAAAATGTACCGAATTAAGAGAATTACAGCTCTATCGAACATCAATAACCGTTGGTGGCTTCGCCGAAATTCTAATTAATTTAACAAAATTACAAGATATCGGTAGATACGATGAAATCGGAAATGTAATTCGTTACATTTACACGAATTATCCTAAATGTAGGCCTTTAGGGTTGAAAAAATTTCAAACTCGTGATTTAATAACCGAAAATTTAAGGCTTCTCGTTGAGTTATTTCCAAAAATTGAATCGATTAGTTTATTTCACGACGAACAATTTTCCGATTTAACCGTTTTAACAGCTTTAGATAACCTAAAAGACCTAAAATTATTATCTTGCAATTTTTACACCGATTATTTAAAACAGCTAATGGAAATTAAAGGTCAAAATTTAACGAGCTTACATTTAGAGCATGTAGAAGAAATTGATTTAGACGCAATTTTTGCTTTAAGCAAATTTTGCCCTCAATTAAAAAGTCTAGTCTTGTATAATTGTGATTTTTTAGACCAACTCGTTCCGTCAAATTCTATTAATATAATTAGACCGTTTAAACACCTCGAACGGTTATTTTGGGTAGTCGATTGTGCTAGGATTCATCTAGAAGTTTTATTAATGAACGCCGTTAATATCAAATACGTCCATTTAGGTTCTTCGACTGGGATAACTCATAACTCGATCGTAAAGATTATTTCGGCGGGGTCGTTTAAAAAATTAGAAGAACTCAGGATTTTGTATAGCGTCGATATGAATTTAAAAACGGTTAATTTGTTATTGGAGAATTGCCCGAATTTAAAAGTTTTATCCGAATTGGAGAGTTGGCAAGGGTTATCTTTCGATGAATTGAAAACTTTAAGGTCTAATATTGCTTCGAGTAATTTTAATTTAGATATAAGACCTACTTTATCTTATTATTAATTTTAAAAAAAAGATTCTATTTGTCCATTTAAAGGCCTATTATTAATTAATTAATTTAATATTCGAAAAATTAGTAAAAAATTAATGATATTGAGGTTATGTTTTAAATATCTGGATTTTGCCAACTTAAGAAATTAAATATGACAGTTCAAAATATAATGACTTTTAAATTGACAGGTGACAATAATAATTTTGAAGTTATCTTAATAATCTACAATTTGTGTTAACAAAATTTAAAAAAATGGATTAATATGAAATTAAATTTCAGATATTTAAATATTACCTTAATGGGTGGTGCTTAATATGTGTTAACAAATTTGCTCTTTTTTAATTCACGCAAAATAATAAAATACCCAGCATTTAATAGTAGGTAGTTGCTCAAATTATAACTTTTAAATTGTAAACCAAAACGAATAGAAATATCAAGTCCTTTTTTGTCATATCATTAGAATAACATCATCAATTTTCGATAAAAAAGCCAAAGTTATACTGTGTATTTAAAATATTAAGTAAAAAAAAATGATGATTTATATTATTATTGAATATTTGGTGTTGTGAATTTAAGTGTATTTAAAAAATATTTATAGAAGTAGTCAAGATTATCAATAACTTTATTGGTTACAACGTTATTTAAAGAAAATTTCATAAATTGTTTGAATACATGTTTTGAGTTAAATAATCTTGTAACTAATACACAAAAAATCCTTGATAATACTTATAAGTAATGTATAAGAAATAAGAATAAGCCGATTAGTTACAGTTTATTAATTAAAAATGGCTCTCTAATTAAATGATATAACTGTAATGATGGTTTATTCTGAAATGATGGTGAGATATACTTATATGCTCTTGTATTGTGATCAATGGAACCTTATAATCTTTATATTATTATTATAATTAAATAAATCAGGTGTTTAATATGTTTACAAAACATTTTTAAAGATCAATTTTATTGACGTTTATATAAATTGTTTAAATTAAATAAACACCTGTATATTTACATATATCGGGAATTTCATATAACTCGCAATATATGAATGTCTTGCAACGAAAATACCAAAAATTAGGGTATCACAAGAAATAAATTTTCAAGAAAATGTGATCAGCAATAATTATGGCTGTGCATGTCAGTGTTAAGTACCAACTAAATTTCATTCAGTACTTTTTTTTGTGGGCGCAAATGATTGCAGTCAAAAATAATTGTAACCTAAGTTCAATGAACTTTTCTGGTTAATGGTTAGGTTGGGTTCTGGTTAATCCAGCAAGTAGAAGACAGATAAGGTGGTGGAGAAAAGGTAAAGCGCTAATACAAGGAGGAAATATGAAGAGGTATATAGAGCAAAGAAAGAGGGAAGAATCAAAAATCCTTAAGATAAGGTATGAAAGTAAGGTATGGAAGTATATAAACAGAAAGCAAAAGAAGTTGGAGAAAATAAATAAACAAGATATCTTTGAGTAGTTAGAAAGGAGATTTCATACAATTGTTGGAAGGCTGCGACGACCAGCAGAGGAAGGATGTGGAGAGGAGAGTGCGAAAATGTGCAGGGCAAATCGAGTTGGATGAATTGGTGAGGATACTGAGGGGGATGGCTTACACAATGAGGCATGGCTGGAGGTAACAGAGGTTAACCCAACGACTGCAGAAGTTTAACTGCTTTGATCAACATGATTTGAACGTCCAACTATACCTTTTCATTTTGCATTAATAAGCCCTTCTACTGTTTTATCATATTCTTCATTGCAAGATTGGTGAGGACACAAATATCTCAACCTCTTCCTTACAATCTTAGTTAAATCATTTGACGTAATAATGTTGTTGTCGATTAATAAAACGATGTAAGATTTATAAAAACTAATCGACCAATAATAATAAAAACCACCCAATGCCTGTACTATTGAGCTATATTACGAGTGCACAGTAGTTTGGTAACTATGATTACTACATTCATATATTGCGAGTTATATGAAATTCCCAGTATAAGTTGTTCAAATTAAATAAACACCTATATATTTACATATATGTATACTATTAATATCCTTTAATATCGATACTTTTAATACTTATCGATTTATACTCGAATTGCGTGATTATCTTTTTGGTTCCTTTGCGGTAATTAATTAATTTGTGAAGATATTGTGATATTTCTTTACTCAAAATAAAAAAAAAATAATAATAATAACTTAATGATAAAAATTAATTGTACGTTTTCTGTTTCGATGTAAAACTAGGTAAAAGAAAAAAATACATAAAACGATATTTTTGTACGCTGAGAATAAAAATATTTTTTGCTTTTTACGGAATGTTCTATTATTTCAATTTAAATCTTTTTTTAATCTCTCTATTAATTAATTAAATATTGTATTTGAATTTTTTAGAGGAACGAAAATATATTTATACATACCAAAAATTGTTTTCTTTTCCAATTTTAGTTATAAAGGTATCACTTTTGGATTTAAAACCGAATTCGGCATTCCACAAAAAGGTTAAAACGGCCCTTTCGGGATTACGTTTTAATTTAATTTTGAATTGGGAGCCACCACAGGAAGAGATATGTGCATCATCGATCGCGAAATACATCCAAGATTTGGGATATAAAGTAAAAAGTTGTTTTATTCAAGAAAATAGCCATTTTGTGTCTCCAAAGGTTCCAAAAATCGATTTTAACGGTTGTAACGATGAGGAAGTCTTCAATTATTGCGAATTTTTGGGGATGGTTGCTTTGGATGCTGATTTCGATGGAAAACCAAACGATTATATTAACACTTACGAAGTACCCGAACCTTGCGAAAATTTAGGTCCTGTACGGTACGTTCAATGGAGAGGTTTTTTTACTTCAACAAGAATTTTAAAATTTTTAAAAGCTTTGAGGTAAAATTAAAAAAACATCAAATAAAATATTTCACCAAAAAAATTTCTTATTAATTTTAGAGGATACCAAAAAATACAAGAAAGTATTCCTTGGATATCGCTTCATGTTTCAGGTTTTCAAGATGCTCCAATAAGTTGGGGTAACACAGAAAATAGGTTTTTTACAGATTCAGAAGACAGTTTTACTTATTTTATAAAAGAACCTCAATTTATTTGTGTAACATCAAAATCATCACTTAAACAATTCAAATCGCACAAATAAAAAATTGTAAAACTAATTTTTATTTTCGTTTTTTTCTCGCTTCATTCGGATTTTTCCTCATCCAATGTTTAATTTGTTGCGGTTTATTTTTAATACCTAAAAGTGCCGATCTAGATTGAACATCTCTCGTAACAAACGGAGAATAACCAGTTATATAGTCATCAGCGAGAACGTTCGTTTTAGTTCGTGCTAATCTTGATGGACGTTGATCGGGTACTGGTTGATCCGCTGATAAAATTGGATTATTTGCGTGTTTTCCACCTTGAGGTGTGGGTAAACTAAATTTTTTTCCACGTTTTGAAATCGGTTTTCGCATATTTATATGAATAATTTGTTTTCCTTCATCATCAACGGAAACGCAAACTCTTTTTAACGTGGCGTAACCGCATTTCGGACAGAAAACGTTCGTCATAATACTTGTCGTTTTATAACATGAATAACAGCGGAAAATATATGTTCTTAATTGTTTGATTATTTGTCCATTTAGGATAGAAACGTTTAGATTCATTTGTTTTAGAACGTTTTGCATTGCAAAATCTTTTGTCATACAGGCTACTTTTACTGGTTTATCTTCAACGTCTTGTCCCATTAACCCCATTGTTTGGAGAATTGCATTTTTTACGTTTTCAGGAGTTATCCAGTTATCATCATCATATTCAGAACCAGAATCGGTATCTTCTTCATCAACAGAATTTGGTTCATCTTGAATTGGAGTTATGTAAAGTTCTTTTTTTGGTTTACGATTTTTTGAAACTGTAATCCAATCATTTTCTTCGAGATTTTTATCAAAATCTTGGATTTGAGGCTCATTTTCTACAGCAGGTGTTAAAACGTCATCGTCTTCTTCATTTAAGGTGTCGTAAATTTGATCGACTGTTTCTAAATCAATGTTACCAAATTTTTCATGTAAATTTTTCATTAAATCATCAGTTTTAATCTTATTATTATCTTGAACATTCTCATCATTTAATTCATCATTCTCATTCTCAACTAAATGCTTTGATTTTTGTTTTGGATAGTAAAAACCAGGTAAATTGTCCGCAACTTCTCCTTTAACTTTTGTTTTGATGTAATTTACAGATTTTTGATAAACCGGATCATATCGAACATGTTCAACACCTTCGTACTCCTTTTCTAATTGTAAAGTTAGAGCCATCACTTTAATATCAGTAGCGGATAAACTTTTATAATCCCCCGTTTTCTTTGAAAATTCAGTTACCGCAACTATATTTTCAGGAAAAACGTGTTTTATTTTTAAATCATAGGGAAGTACGCATAATCTTCGTAATTGCCGTTTATTAGTGATTTCGTCCACCACCTCTTGAATTGTGTAGAAATTTTCAGCAATTTCCTAAAATTTTTGAGGTTAAGTTAAAATTTTTTTAGTAAATTGTTTTAAACTCAAAACTTACTTGTAATGGGGCATTTTGGATAAACGCGGAGGTATCCACGACCAAATGATCTATTTTTTGCTTGTGCATTCCGATATTAACTGTATTTTTCGTGAAAAAACACGTGTTTTGACACTTTGGGGAACGTATAACCTCACTTTGTTGACGTTTAAAATTTTTAATAGGTTATGTCAAAGGAAATCTTTATTTCAAATTATTTAGAACGACATATAATGATTTACGAAATTCAATACAAATTAATTTATATAAAGCAAAAAAAATAATGATTTCTAGACCTTCCCCGGCTTTTTTTTAATTTTTTGAGGTTAGGTTACAATTCTTTAGTAAAATACACTTGCAATGGAGCATTTTGGATAAACGCGGAGGTATCCACGAGCAAGTGCTCTATTTTTTCTTATGCATTGCGATATTAACTGTATTTTTCGTGAAAAAACACGTTTTGACACTTTGGGGATATTTATAACCTCACTTTGTTGACATTTAAAATTTTTAATAGTTTATGTCAAAAAAAATCTATATTTAATAATTAATTATCATTTATTTAAAATTATTTAGAAAGACATACCTATAATGATTTACGAAATTCAATACAAATTAATTCATTCAAAGCAAAAAAAATCTTCCACCCGTTTTTTTTTAACTTTTTGAGGTTAGGTTAAAATTTATTAGTAAAATACTTTTGCAATGGGGCATTTTGGATAAAACGCGAAGGAACCAAATGCTCTATTTTTTTTGCTTGTGCATTGCGATATTAATCGCATTTTTCGGGAAAATCACGTTTTTCGACACTTTTAGAATTTATAACCTCACTTTGTTGACATCAGTTGACATTTAAAATTTTTGCTAGGTTATGTTAAAAAAATCAATTTCATAATTATTTAGTTAAAATTATTTAGAAAGTCATATAATGATTTACGAAATTCAATACAAATTAATTCATATAAAGCAAAAAAAATTATTTATTTCTAGGTCTTCCCCCCGTTTTTTTTCCAACACCAATTCCTTGTTTATCTTTAGCTTTTTGATTCAATAACATTGGATGAATATCGGACTCCCCAGTATTTTGCAATTCAATGTCATAAGATCTATACTTTTTCTTTTTGGTTGGAGGTGATTCACATCCTTGGGTGTTATTGGAAGAAATATTTTCGCTTGCGTTCCAATTATCTTCGGGATCTTCAATTTCGGGAGCGATTGGTAAGAACTGTAAACAATGTGTATTTTCATTTTCCTCGTCTGAACTACAAAACGCAGCTACAGGATCTATTGTACAAACATCAACATCTAAATCGGTATCTTCTTTAGCATCACCGCCGCTTGCAACGGACCTATCATCATCGTTTAAATCAAATTCGCTTTCATGTTCTTCGTATTCAACGTTTTCATCTAGTTCTTTAAAATCTGGAGCAAAAGCCGACCAATTTTCAACTTGATTTTGTGCCCAAACGCTAACAACTCCTGATGAAATACTTGTTATGATGGGACGAACCGGATGCCAACAAACATCAAGTAATAATTCACCTTTTGTACCATGTAATATTTTGACTAAGTTTCCAATAGACTTCTCCCAAATGTATAAAGCGTGTTGTCTTGCTGAACCTGCACAAATATATTCACCGTCGCCGGAAAAACAACATTTTTTCCACATCGTTTTGTTAACAAGATCTTGTAATTTTTGTATAGGTTCTGGTTCTCCCTCTTTGCCACAAGTCAAAACTTCTTTACTATCATAAACTCTAATAACTCTATCAGCAGTGTTTATTAAAAAACAATCACCCCTGCGAGCAAATTCAATACTTTTAACAGCAGTCGCGCTTGAAGTACCCAAAATAATACGAAAACTTGCTTTAACCTCTAAAGTTTTTGTATCCATAATTAAAATTTTTCCTTTACCATTACCCGTATAAACATAATCACCTCTCCTATCAAATGAAGCGACAATATTTAAATCTGCATCAGCATCAATTGGTAACACTTCGTGTTTCCCATTTGTGTCAACGAGAACTGCCGCATGTTTCATCGGACATACCAATAACCTTTCTAAAGATCTTGGCTCAAATTGTACCTTCAAAACTGGGCCAGGGAATCGATATTTTTGTTCACATTCACCATTTAAAACATCCCAAATACAGACAGTGTTATCAGTTGACGCCGAAGCCATTTTATGGCCATTTCTCGACCAGCTTATGCTGCACACGGGGTGAACGTGAGCCGAAATAATTTTCGCTATTCCTCTCGTTAAAAAATCCCAAATAACTACTCTTCCATCATTACAACCTACGGCTAAGAGTGTGCCCCTTTTATTGAAAGCGCACGTTACCGCTAATGAAAGGCAGTCTAACGTTCCATCGAATTCTTCCGGATAGTTTTGTCCAAATGATTCTAATAATTCTAAATTCATTATTGCTTAAATTAATAACTTGATGATTGTATAGGTTATGTTTTTGTTATATTCATAGACTTTTCATCTTAATAATTCCTATTGGGTGAAATTAATATAAGTTAGAATTGAAGAAATAAAGATCGATATACTATCTTTTGTGTATTAAAAGGAGATGGGAAGAAGCAAGTTTTCTCCATAGTTATAACATCAATGCGAAACGTCAAATTAAATAACCAAAAAAAAATAAATTCCCCAGATTTTGATAATTATTTTGCTATTCTGTGATGGAAACTTTGTTTGTTTAATTAACTCACGTTATTATGTAAAAATCCATAATTATCCGTTAATAACAGCCTATTTCTATTACGTACATCAGAACTCAAAGTTTACAATTTCGAACCACAACTGAAATAATACCAAAATTATTTCATATATTATAAGACAACAGTCTAAATTGTTATAAAATAATGGTATTTCCATCAAAAGAAGACGTAAATTCCTCAGTTTCATCTTTGGACAGTGATTTTAACGTTAATGAAAGACGAATTTTGGATCTTGGAAAGCAATTGCTTAAACACCGATTTTTCATAGGTACGTTACATGAAAAGTACCGTGTCGAAAAAATTAACGCCTATAGAGATGTTATATCAATTGACGATAACGAACGTCATTTAATTGAACAATTACGTGATTATTTGGCACACATAATAAGATTTTATTCACAAGAAAATTGGTGGGTAGGGATTACAGCTCCAGGAAAAAATAGTTTACCTAATGCTTATTGTTTATGGGTTGACTTACCATCTGGTAATGTGTTAGGGAGATATTGGTTCAAAATTCGCAGTGTAAGATTTCAAAAAAACGGAGAGTTAATTGTTGTGGTTAAAATCGAAAGAAAAATCGAAGAATGTTTATCAACACCGTCCCCAAAACCGTTATTTAAGACAATTCAAGCTGAAAACGAGAATTTCTTTGTTACATTTGAAAAAGGGACAGAAATAATTGGAAATTCGTTTCGTAATTTTTTTGCAAATGTAGCAACTCCAAAAAATATAAAAGAAGCTGCCCTTTTTTTGGGTTTACTAGTGGTCGCTTGCGTAACAGGTTTATTTGAGGTGATGAAATTTTTGAGCGAATTCTTAATCAAATTTATGTACGCCTGGTCACATTTTGTAAAAGCCAGTCTTCCAATTTTGCAAATAATACTTAATTTTATGGAAAATATTTTTAAGGTACTTTGCACGTTAATCGCTCATATGTTTAAACCGCAACATCAACAACAACCTCAACTACAGGTTGATCCACGATATTCAGCTTATAGACCTGTACGACCACGATATATTACATATAATCGTCCTTCATCCAGATCAGGAGTTACGATAACTGAGCTTAATTGATACAAATAAAATAATATGTTTGTTGTAAATAGTTTTTTCTGTTTTTATTATTAAATAAATCGACTTATAATAAATAAACTAAATTAAAAAAGAATCTTGATTGTTTGAGGTTAGAATGTTTATAACCTCAGCTTATGAATAATTAAAAAAAAAAGTAAATATTTCATTACCTCATCGTTGTAAATACTTTTTTCTGTTTTTATTATTAAATAAATCGACTTATAATAAACTAAATTAAAAAAAAATCTTGATTGTTTGAGGTTAGAATGTTATAACCTCAACTTATGAATAATCAAAAAAAAAGTAAATTTCTCATTATCTCATCGTTGTAAATAGTTTTTTCTGTTTTTGTTATTAAATAAATCGACTTATAATAAAGATAAATTAAAAAAATCTTGATTGTTTGAGGTTAGAATGCTTATAACCTCAACTTATGAATAATCAAAAAAAAAAAGTAAATATTTCATTATCTCATCGTTCCAAAGGTTTCATTTGCATTTTTTCCTTGACATACATTTTTATGGCATTGAATAATCCAATTCAAGAGACTCAACACCGTTAGAATAACAAAGAAAAATCGTTTCATTATAAACTGCACCTCCACAATGTTAACACTTTTTAGTTTTGTAATTACTACAATTGTAGTTGTTACAAAAGTGGAATCTTTGGATAATGGTTTAGCTTTAACGCCTCCAATGGGATGGATGACCTGGCAAAGATTTCGTTGTATTACTGATTGTGAACAGTATCCTTTGGAATGTATAAGGTTTACAAATCAAATAATTTTATTTATATAGAAAAGTCAAATAAAAATTGCAGTGAAAAGTTAATAAAAACGATGGCAAAACGAATGGTAGTGGATGGTTATTTAAAAGCAGGTTATGAGTATATAATTGTAGATGATTGTTGGATGTCAAATAAAAGGGATTCAGAAAATCGATTACAACCAGATCCAATCAGATTTCCAAGCGGAATAAAATCCCTTGCAAATTACGTCCAAAGTTTAGGATTAAAGTTTGGAATTTATGAAGATTCCGGATACAAAACCTGTGCAGGTTATCCTGGAATTTATGGACACTTAGAAATCGATGCGCAAACCTTCGCCGATTGGGAAGTTGATTATATTAAATTAGACGGTTGTTATAACGATCCAGAAACGTTAGTTGATGGCTACATTCGATTTGGAGAACTTTTAAATCAAACCGGACGTCCAATCGTTTATTCCTGTAGTTGGCCTGCTTACGAAGAACCACTAGGAATTAAAGTAAACCCAAATTTAGTGAAGATATCAATAAACATATTCTTTTTTTAGTCAAATTACTCATTATTAACCGAAAAATGTAATTTGTGGAGAAATTGGGATGATATCGAGGATAGTTGGTACAATGTAACAAATATTCTTGATTGGTTTAGTGAAAATCAAGATAGAATCGCTAAATATTCAGGTCCAGGACATTGGAATGATCCTGATATGGTAAAATTTATTATTGATTTATGAAAACGTTGTTTAAATATCAACTTTAAGTTATTAGTAGGAAATTTTGCGTTAAGTGAAGATCAAAGTAAAGCTCAAATGGCGATTTGGTCGATTATGGCAGCCCCATTATTAATGTCCGTCGATTTAAGAACGATCAAACCGGAATTTCGCCAAATATTATTAAACCCTGACGCAATAGCTATAAATCAGGACAAACTTGGAATTATGGGCAAATTGGTTTATACTGCTTTAAAACGTATTGATGTTTGGGTAAAACCAATCATGCCAATCGTTAATGGGGAGTTTTCTCTGGCAATTGGATTTATTAGCAATAGAATTGATGGATATCCACGAATTGCTTCCGTACCTATGAAAACTTTAGGACTTAATAATCCTAAAGGTTATCACATAACGGTAACAATAAATTTTTAAAACAACTAATTTTTATTCGAAATTTATATTTTTTCTAGAATATTTTTGACCCTGAATATGTAGATGTTATATCTGGAGGGAATATTGTGGTTAGAGTCAAGCCTTCTGGAACAGTGTTTTTAAAATTAATTCCTAAAGACTGATATGTAATTAAGACATAAAGTAGTTAATATAATAAGTTTTATATCGATTTTATAAATATATGTATAATTTGATTCATTTTATTGAAAATATTTGAGTAAAATGTGTTAGTTTACTCTAAAATGTTTATTTGATTTTATCATAAGTATGTTTTTGATAAAGTTTGATAAATTCATCAATTTTTCACTAAACTAAATTAAACACTCAATTTTTTTTTTAATTTATTAATATCTAAACAAATATACTTATTTTTTGTTTGAGGTTAGATTACGTGTCATTTTTGACGTTTCTTCTCACCGGCTACGTTCTAAAATTTTTTGTAGAAATTGTCGATAAAACTTTATATTTACAATTAGAACTGGTGAAAAACTAAATATTACGCCAAATTAACATATAAATTACAAATTTTAACATTTAATTTGACATAAAACCTTTGACATTTAAATTGACAAATAATCATATCATAACTCTTCAAAGTACCAACCTTAACAATATAAGTGTTAGTTATGAAAAGAAATTTTTAATTAATTAATTCAAACATATTTTTGGTCGTTTCTGTTATTTCGCTCTTCATCCATCCCATCAATTCATCTCGACAGCTTTCCAAGATCCTCCTCATACATTTCGCTAACTTAAACTGTAAATGAAGCCAGTTTTTTATTTTTGGCTAAATTTGGAAAATCTTTCATAAAATAATTACTAAAAAAAGAATAAAAACACTTGAAACTTTTTAAATTTTTTAAAATCTAAACAAATAAAATTTATCTGTCTGATGTCCTACTTAAAATAGCTTACTTTAAACGACCATACTTGACTTAAAATAGTCAACACGAATCGTTATCGAAACCTGTTTATCCAATTTACCAAAACTCTTGAATTAAATATATCCAGACCAACAGATAAGGGCGATGGTATAAATTTCAAAAACTCAAACGCCAAGTACTCAAAGTAAGTAAAGAAAGCATATAAACAACCATGATCCTTTTTGGTACACTTTTTTTGTATCTAACTCTTTTGATAAATCCTGTTTTTAATTTAGATAATGGTTTAGCTTTAACCCCACCAATGGGGTTTATGACTTGGCAAAGGTTTCGGTGTATTGTTGATTGCAAAAGTTATCCAGATGAATGTATAAGGTGAGATGTAATTTTTTATCAAAGTTCTCAAATTTTAATTCTTTTAATTTTACAAAAGTGAAAATTTAATAAAAAGACAAGCTGAATTAATGGTTAAAGATGGATATTTAGACGCTGGTTATGAATATATAATAATCGATGATTGTTGGTCATCAAAAGAAAGAGATGAAAATGGTAGACTTCAAGCAGACCCTGAAAGATTTCCGAATGGAATTCCAGCTTTAGCAGATTATGTAAAAAATTATAATTGACAAATTACCAAAAAAAAATTACTTTGATTATTGTAGGTGCATAATTTTGGTCTTAAATTTGGAATTTACGGTGATTATGGGACATTAACTTGTGGTGGGTACCCAGGCAGTATAAACTATTTAGAGGTGGATGCTGAAACTTGGGCGGAATGGGGTGTAGATTACGTTAAATTAGACGGGTGTTATTCAGAATTAGAAGATATGGAAGCTGGATACGCTGAGTTCGCTAATTATTTAAATAAAACCGGAAGACCTATGGTTTATTCATGTAGTTGGCCTGCTTATTTTGAATTTGGCGGATATCCTGTAAAAATAATTAAAACGAATTTACATCAAATTTTTATTTTCCTTTTTAGGTTAACTTTGAAATTTTAGCTACAACCTGTAATTTATGGAGAAATTGGGCGGATATTCAAGACTCTTGGAGCAGTTTAACAACAATCACCAAATGGTTTGGTGATAATCAAGACAGATTTAGTAAATTTTCAGCACCTGGTCATTGGAATGACCCAGACATGGTAAAAATAAACTTTGAATGTAACCAAATTTCCCTTTTTTCAATTTTAGTTATTAATTGGAAATTATGGGTTAACAGAAGATCAAAGTAAATCCCAAATGGCGATCTGGTCGGTTATGGCAGCCCCACTTTTAATGTCTCTAGACTTAAACACAGTGAAACCTGAATTTAAAAGTATTCTCTTAAATAAAGACGCAATTGCCATAAATCAAGATTCGTTGGGAATAATGGGAACAAGAATTTATCAGAAGAATGATATTGAAATTTGGTCCAAACCAATATTGCCAATTATTAACGGTTATTCTACTTATGCAGTCGCTTTTGTTAGTTATCGAGATGATGGGCATGCTTATAGAGTTGAAGAAAAATTGGAAACACTTGGATTAACTTCTCCTAATGGATATCTAGTTGAAGTAGAATTAATTTAACATTAATTTAATTTTTATTTAACAAATTCGATGTTTTAGAATATTTTTGAACCTAATAATGTGGATCTTATTGACTTTGAAAATATTTGGGCACGAATTAATCCATCTGGGACCGTTTTCTTACGTTTAACTCCAATTGGAAGTGTTCTTTCTAATTAATAAATTGTTTTTTAAATTTGTTGTATGTTAATTAATATAAAATTAAACAGAATTATACAAATGTGTTACTAAGCTCTAGAAATCCTTTTATAAAAATCAAATTTAATTTACAACATTTATTGGTTTCAGTTAATTGGATTTGACAAGTAATTTTAATTGCTTGACGTTTAATTTGTAATGTTTGTAACCTAAAAATTGAAAAAGTCACTATGTAGTAAACTAAAAACATAACTATTATATTTTATGATTCACAAATTCTATACTAATTATTTCAATAATAATACATATTTTTGCGGGCTATTATAAATAATAACAATATTTTTTATTATTGTTAATTAAAGAAAATTTTAAAAAAATCCTTGTACTATTTAGTGAAAAAAATTTGACATTCCTTACGTCACTTAAGCTGAATGTTTTTAAATATTGTACTAAAATTCGTTATTAACGACCAATTAAAACGGCACCGTTTCGAAGTATTTACTTAAGATTACGCGAATTGATCATTAGAAAATAAAGAAAATACTGGATTGACCCGTTCAAGACGTTTCTGGAAGCCTAACCTCACTTTTAATTTTAATGTCATACACTATGTAAAAATCATTTCTGCTTTCTACATTTGTGCGCTTTGTTTGAAATCTTTAAAAAGTAATAAAGGCAAAAAAGTTAGTAACGTAAAGATATGTCGAAACATAACAGTGCTACTTCGCGGTTAAAACAGGATTATTTAAGGTTGAAAAAGGACCCAGTGCCCTATATTACTGCGGAACCTCTACAAAACAATATTTTAGAATGGTGTGTAAAAGAAAATGTTTACGTTGATGATTTATTTTAATAATAATAATTTGTAGGCATTATGTTGTGTGTGGTCCTGAATCTACCCCCTACGAAGGTGGTTTTTATCATGGAAAGTTGATTTTTCCACGTGAATTTCCTTTTAAACCTCCTTCGATTTATATGATAACCCCCAGTGGACGTTTTAAAACTAATACTAGGTTATGCTTGAGTATATCAGATTTTCATCCGGATACGTGGAATCCAGCATGGAGTGTTTCTACGATATTAACCGGCCTATTAAGTTTTATGATTGAGAAAAGTCCTACTTTGGGCAGTATAGATACAACGGATTATGACAAAATTCAATTAGCTTTTGAATCTTTAGAGTTTAATTTAAAAGATAAACAATTTTGTGATCTTTTTCCTGATATCGTATCAAAAATACAGGTTGGTTTAAACTTTTTTTTTAATTTATTGTTTGAGTTAATTTCTTTTTAGGCGGAAATAAAGAAAAGGAATGAAATACAATGTAATATTGAGAAGCAAACAACGGAGCAAGTAACTCAGGAGCCAAGTAGTATGCAATCATTTCTAACCAATTTAATTGTAATAATTGGTTTCGCGGCGTTTGCTTTTACTGTAAAGTATGTGATGAAAACCAGTGCTGCCGATTCGGCCTCAGAATAATAATAACTAATTGTGATATTTGTATTTTGATAATTTTTATGGTGTACATTAGAAAAAAACCTTTCTTTTCTCAAAAAAATTTATTTTTTTATCAAAAAAGAAATATACTTTTGTTTGGCTATAATAATGTAAAGCTACTTATTAATTAATAATTCTAATTTGTTTATTGCACACAAATAATTACAACTTTGTTTTCTTTTTTAGTTCATTAAGTTTCAGATTGTATTAATTTTTCTTTTTTCAACTGCTTTGAATCTTATGTACGGATGAATATCGTTTTAAGGGGATATATGGGGAAATATGTACATAATAATTAGATTTAATAAATAAATAGTGGTTAAAACACATTTTTATTTAACCTACAAAAGTTTTTGACGTTTAAAACGGGAAAAGTGAGGTTATATCTATATAATTTAAAACACAAAATTATAAAAATGTATAGATTATTATTAATATATATAAATTACATTAGATTTTTATAAATACATTAAGAATATATTAAAAATTAGATTCAAGAATAAATTTGAATGACTTTGTACACAAAAAGAGGCAAAAAACCTTAAGTTATAACAATCACAATTTAATTCTTTTAAAATGTTTTCTTCTTAAACTTATATTAAAATTAATAAAAAAGATCTTAAAACTATGTTTTATTGATAAGACTGTTGTCTAAACAGCGTAGATATTTCCTCCATCGTTTTATTTTTTGTTTCAGGAACTTTGCGATAAGTAAAAACGACAGTAAGTACTAAAATAACAGTAAAAATAATAAAAACGTGTGCCCCAATGATATTTTTTAATGGTAAAAATCCGATTCCAACGAAGAAATTTGCAATCCAGTTTACAGTTACAGCTAGAGATGTCGCCGTTGGTCTCGACGACTGATTAAACAATTCTGATACTATAAACCATGGAATTGAACCTGGTCCCGTTGCAAATAAAATTATAAAAAGCACCACTAAGAAAATTGATAAATAACTAACAGCTTGTACATTCTACAAAGAAAAAAAGATATTTAAACATTTCATTTTAATGTTGTAAATGAGTCTTACATGATATTGAAGAGCGATTGATAATAATAATGTAACAATAGACATTCCACCAAATCCTATGAGTAATAAAGTTTTCCTCCCAGCCTTTTCAACTAATATTAATGAAATCACAGTCATAACGACGTTTATAAATCCAATGGCTAAAGTTGCATAACTAGCTGCTTCTATCGTAAGTCCCGAACTTTTAAATATTTCCGTTGAATAAAAAATGACCTAAAACAAAAAAATTTAATACAATTTAAAATATAATTAAATTCAAACTTACAGCATTAATCCCACTAAGTTGTTGTGCTATCATAAGCACAATAGAAATAATCAACGGAATTCTCAAAGCGGGTTGAACGATTAATTCTCTTAAAGTAACTTTTTGAATCATTTTTAATGTTTGTGCTTCCTGTTGCATTTCATCCATTTCTTGTTGAACTGATGGCGAACTTCTCAACCAAATCAATGCTTTTTGAGCTTCAGTTTGTTTCTGTTTAGTGCATAAAAGGTATTTCGGGGATTCTGGACATAAAGGTAGAATAGCTAACTATCAATAAAAGAAATAATAAATTATTATTTCAAAAAATTAAACTTTCAAATTCTTTACTTGAAGCAATGCCGGTAAAGCCGTGATTGCCAACAAAACTGGCCACATAGCATCATTTCCTAATATCGAATTGATCCCCAAGATTTGAGCGATTAAAATCGAAATTGTAATAACTAATTGGTAAACGGATCCGATGGCACCACGAAGATTAACAGGCGATATTTCCGAGAGATACATCGGAGCTAATCCGGCATTTAAACCAGAATTAATCCCGATTAAAAAGCGCCCGAAAATAATCATTTCGAATGAATTCGCCGATTTCGAGACCCCTTCTAATAAAGCGGCCAAGAAAACTATGATGTTATTCATTAAAAGACCCTTTTTTCTTCCAAATGTATTCGCGACGTAACCTAAAAATAAATTTTGACGTTAATTTTGACATTTAAAATTTAAAAAAAAATAACCTGTTATTGCGCCACCTATCATTCCTCCCACACAATAAATAGAAACCGTTATAGACCATATTAAGGTGAGTGCCGTTTCCGTTGGATGTTCACCATTTCGTTTTTGCAAGACGGACGATGTAAAATTCATAATTACCTATAAATACATATAAAAGGGTTAATATAAAAATATTTGTTGGTTATATTGAATGATTACTTCTTGAGGATTATTGATGACACCTGTGTTGTAACCATGTTGAAAAGCTGATCCTAAAGCTGCAGCTCCTACGGCTATCGCTAAGTTTTTATTGAAACCCTAAAAAAAAGTTGAAACATTTATTTTAACATTAAAAGTTTAATTTGAATATTTGACGTTTAAAAAATTTGGTGTGATAAATTAGGTAACTGTAAAGGTTGTATTTTTATATTGACTTCAATGTTAATAATTTGCAGTCTTAATATGTTTTATATCCACATATTATTAAAAAATATTATAATTGAGGCTAAATCGGAATTAATTGTGTTATTTCAAATTCAATTTTTTTTATTGTCGTTTAAAATGTCAATTTGACGTTTAAAAAGAGAAAAATTACTAAAAACTTTTGTAGTGTATAATTTTTGAGGTAATAAAGAAATAATTTGAGACTTAATGTGTTTTATATCATTTATATATCATATTAAAGAATATTAAATTAAATTTAAATTACTATTTTAAATTTTAATATTTCTAATTGACGTTTGAAATGTCAGTTTGAAATTTAAAAATGAAAAAATTCCCTAAAAACTTTTATCACGTATAATTTTTGTGCTTAGTAGAAATGAAAGATGGAAATCCAAATAGAAATCGATTCGGTTTGTTAAATATTAAGCTCAAGGTGATTGAAGGAGGTCGTTTAATTCCACAAAATTAAGTTAAAAGGATCAATGGATTTGACCCAATTTTTATTGAAAAAAAATCATTTTAAATTATAAACATAATTATTTTAAGTTTAAATATTAATTATAACCAAATTAGTGACGTTAATTTGCAAAAATGAATAATTTTCTTGGAAGAATTATTACCATTTAAAAAAAAAATAACTGTTAGTTAAATATTTAGTTTACTGTATGTAAATTCTTTAAATTACTTTCTAACAAAACAAATTATCTACGTTTAAAAAAAAATATTTTTTTTATTATTAAACTAATTATACAAACTTTTGAACTTTTTTCTTCATTTCCACGTTCCATCTCGTAAGGTTCTTTAGATGCTTTTATTGTTGGCTCACCACCCTTACCCATTTTGAATTAATTAATTATTTTTCGTTTTAAAATTAAAGAAAAAAATAGTGCACGTGTTTTAACCGGTTTTTCGATTTTTATTTAAAGCACCTTTATACGTGAAGCACGTGCCAACTCGGAACAAGTCTGGATATCGACTGAAAAGCGCCGAAGCTCATTGGATTACGTTGGGGGGGCTCGTCCACTCTTTACAGGACCTTTCCCCACTACAACAAATGTAACTACAGTTCATTCACTGTTTTAGATGCGCAAGATCAAAAAACCAGACATAAAAAAATTTTGATATGACACCCACCCATTTTTTATATCTTTTTGTTAGTTTTAGATGTGGAAATTTTAATTTAATTTATCTTTTAAGGTTCATTTACATAATCTTTAAAAAGAAGTTTTTTACTCTTTTTGTTGATTATAAAAAAATGTGTTTATATACCACGGCGGAAATTTTTATAGATTTTTTTATAGAAATTTATCCTTGAAATCATGGTCATATAATCGATGCTAAAACTATTCAGTTTTCTTTTTCATGTATGTATGTATTAAAGATACATAGGAAAATTATTAACAGTAGTATTAATAGATTAGGTAATCTAATCTTTGTAGGCCTTGAAATAATCTTGTTTCAAAAAAGGATGTTAAAATTGCAAACAAAGAGGACACAAAAATAAATCATTATTTCCAATAACTTTAAAATTATTTATTTTAATTTATTTATAAGATTACCTTTCAGGTTAGAAGTGTCATTTTGACATTTCAAATGTCATTACTAAATATGGTTTGAAACTTCCATGACGTCTTATTGACGTTTAAAATGACAATTCGGAAATGTAAATGTTATTTTGATTACCATATCATTTTGTTGTTTAAAAATATTTGTTTACCTGCATATTTTGCGAGTAATAAAATTTTTGGCACTATAGAAGCGAAATTTTTTAACAAAAATAATGAAGGTGGTTCACTTTCACTTCTTGTTGGTCGCGTTGGTCACTCGCGAGTGTTAAAACAGAAAACCGGTTGGTTTGTTGAATTGTTAAAGCTGCTTGAGTCAATCTTTTGCAAACCAACTCGAAAAAGAAAAAGTTACCCCTTCCAATAAGTCTCAATATGCGAAAGAAAATGAATTCAAAGTCTATTTGCCTTTCCCCCCTCTCAATTTAATTATAACGTAAACAATAACTGTATAATAAAGTCTTTGTGTTTACTTTTGTTCAACTCGATCATTGTTATGGAGAATCTGTGTTAAATCTTCTTTTTATTTATTTATTCTAGAATAAGGGATTCGAAATTGAATCGATAAAGTGGCGTGATCTAAAAAGGAGTAATAAGAGAGAAGTTATTGATTTTTTTTTTATAGTTAATTTATTTACGACAACGGATTTCCCACATTTACACAGTTCAAACGAAAAATGATAAGGTTTAATCAAACTTCCTTGCGTCTTTTACGTAGATAATAATTTACAACATATTACATTAAATTGCGTGCACTACGTGGCCACGATTGCGTGTGGTCTTTCACGTCCTACCTGAGTTTCTCTTTGGAATTTTGACCGTTGCCTTTCGTTGAAACCGTATTATTCATATTCCAATAAAACAAAACAACATTGTAATTAATTATTTAGCGTTTAAATATTCCATTAATCTATTATTAATTAATCTTTATTAATCATTAAAAAAGTTAAATTAAAACGAAAAATAATTTTAAAATTAATTTGACATTTAAACGTCAAATTTGACATAAAATAAATATTAGATTTTTAAAAGATTGTTTTAATAACTATTAATTTTTATTTACGAAATCTTTATTAATTCAATAAAATTTATTGAATTATTTTAAAAATGAAGTAATTTTCTTCTAAATTTGTTTTAAAGAAAATTTTTTTTTATAAATAGGAGTGAAATTAGCAACTATATAATAATATGATTTATTAACCAACAAAGAATTTAACTAATAATTATTTAAATTATACAGTTGTAATTAAACGATCAAAAATATTTGAAATTTCTATTACCATTCTTGAGTAATTCTTAATTTTTTAATTTTGCGGTGTTTGTTCGAATACAAGAATAATTTTGACAGTTGTGAAGTTTGTTGCTAATTTAACAATAATCAACTTTTTTTATTAAAATATAAAATTTCCCCAGAAAATTTATTAATCAATTTCTTGGTAATTTAATGACAAAATTAATATTTTCCGAACCATAAAACTTTAATGTATCTTTTGGATTAAACACTGTGTGGGGGTTGTTATTTTTGAAGGTGACCTTTAAAACTGATGCAATATCGACCCATTATTGCGTCATCGGATATCTAGAAGGCTCGATGTCCACACCCATTTCTAGACCAATCACGTTTTAGATAGCTGGCGAGCCCCCCATAGCAACACGTGTACACAACCAAAAATAAACCTGTCTTCGTATAAGTCAAAATAACGGCATCTAATACCAACCACCAAAAAAAAAAACTACCACGAAGAAGACATTTATTAAGAATCTTTTATAACTTATTAATATTATGTTTAATCACTAATAATAATATTTTTTTATTAAAAATTTTCCTTTCATTTACGTCAAAACTTATTTGTAATGATTTCTTAACATTATTTTTTATCAATTTGATATTCAGACCAGGCGCCAGAACCATGAACGATTGCCAAAAAAATTCTATAATTAGATTCCGGCTGCAATTGAAATTTTTTATTCGCTTGTAAACATCCGATAATATTTAAAAAAACGATGCAAAGTAACAATTTTGAAAAGGTTACCTTCACACCACCTTCAAACGACATTTCAAAAAGCACCACTTTACATATATCATAAATAACACAGTAATTATCATTCCTTTTTATCAATTTACCCAACTAATCCATTACAAACAACAAATAATTCTCCAAACTCACCTCTTTTCTTTGCTTTATTTCAAACGTTCGATTTTCGTCGTTTAAATTGATATCATCACCAATATCGCTCAAATCTATGGAAAGTATCTGATAACGAAAACTATTTTCTAATAAAAATATATCAGATTGTTGTTCATCATTTAAATTATCTTCAGCTTCTTCATTCGTATTCTCAATATCCATCGATAACACTCAACGATATAAGAAAGAAATAAAAGAAAAATCACCATCCATTCGTTCTGATCGAATGTACGCTTTATTTGTATTTTTTATATTTTTCCATTTATTTATAACTCAAGTGAGGACGGTCAAATCTATAAATTGTCCTCTACAATTACATTTATTGGAGACAACATCTTTGTAGATCTTTTATTGTTCATTTATAAGCTCAACCAAGATGCCAATGACTTTAAAATAAAGAACATAAACAAATTTAAACAAATACTCCCAACAAATTTTATCAAATACCTTCTTGTTATCACCAATTTTCTTTTTCTTTATAAACATTTATAAAAGCTTTTATTTACGACGGAAGCGCCATCTATTAAAAAACTCTAAATTTAACAATGATAACGTAGAGACCTACACATAAGAAATAAGCGTCTTTCTATAACCTAAAACCGGTAACACTTAAATTAAGTTTAAAAATCGTCTTTAAACAACAAATAATGGGTGAAAAACAATTATCTTCCGTTGAAACTGAGTTATACGATCGTCAAATTCGTTTATGGGGAATTGAATCTCAAGAGAAGTAATACTAAATTTAATTTACAACTAACATAACCTAAAAATAATTTTTTTTAACGTTAATTTTTTAGATTGCGAGCCGCTAATGTTCTTTTACTTGGAGTGAAAGGTTTAGGATCGGAAGTTACTAAAAATATAGTTCTTTCCGGAATAAATGCGCTTACAATAGCCGATGACGAACTTGTAACTGAACATGATTTAGCCGTAAATTTTCTCTTAACACCAGATTGTCTTGGGAAAAAGTTATCAGAATCAATCTTATTAAAGGCGCAAGCTCTTAATCCGCTTGTAAAATTATCCGTTGAAAGTAACATTAACGATAAAAAAGAGGATTATTTTAAAAACTTTCAAATTGTTGTTGCTACGGGTTTACAAATGAAACAGATTTTAACGATTTCCGAATGGTGTAGAAAAAATAAGGTTAAATTTATTTGTGGAGATGTTTTTGGAATGTTTGGTTGTACAATTTCTGATTTACAAGACCATGATTATTACGAGTATGTTTAACAAATGCTAAATAATTAATTTTTTAATTATTTTTTGTTGATTTTGTTAGGGATCGCGTAAAATTACCTAAAAAGAGAGCACACAGTGGTAAATCTGTTGATGCCGAGATGACAACCGTGAAAATACACGCGCTCATTAAATACCCCAGTTTGAAAAGGGTGTTGAAATACCCCGAAGATGGGAAACCAAAAAAATGTCGAAATATTTACTTTTATTTAATGCTAGGTATTATTATACGTAATTTTTTCTTCATTTTTAATATAATGCCCTTTTTAGCTTTACTTGAATTTAGGGATAAGTTCAATAGAAATGTTTCCCGCTCAAAACAAGATGAAGATGTAAATGAGTTGAAAAAAATGTTTGAGTCCTTAGCAAAAAAATATGAAATAGATTCTAATAAGTTGGATGAAAATGTTTTCGAGTTGCTTTTTGGCGAAGTGGTTCCCATTTGTTCTGTTGTTGGGGGAGTTATTGCCCAAGAAGTAATTAAAGCCGTTTCAGGGAAAGAAGTTCCAATTAATAACGTTTTTATTTTGAATCCATTAAATTATTCTGGTAAAGAAGAAACTATTTGTAATTAAATAAGAATTATGTCTTAATTAAACATTTTCTAATAAAAATATGTCAATAACATAATTGTTTTTGTTACAATTAAATCTCATAAACGAGGATGTTGGCAAATTGTCTTGGTATCTTATTATGTGGATTGAAGTGACCAAACCATTTGTAACTTTAAAATTGTTGGAATTATGACAGTTCATAATTGACAAGATCAGTTTTTAGGTTAGATTTAAAAAGCTATTCCTGAAAATAAGTTAATTTTCTAAAAAAAAAGTGATTTTAATTTGTTTGTTATTGTAGCATGTTCTTTGAAAGATATTATTTAAATTATATTTATTCGTTTTAAGGATTTGAATTTATACTTACCACCACCATATTCTCAATAGATGTCTCTACTTGCAATGAAAAGCTCATACGCTCACACATGTTAAACTTCGAAAGTATATTGTACTTTTAAAGAAACATCAAGAATTTATTGTGTTTTAAGAAAAACTATGATTTAAAAATGAATTAAAAGCATTAATTTAATTAAAACGCTCCATTTCTCTGCTTATAGATGGCGCTAGCTAATTTACCTGATTTTTCACATTCTGAAAAGCGATCAAATTGTAAATGTTTTATTTCTTTTACTTATTTGAAACGAATTACATGAATTATATATTAATTGATCAGAGGATTTCAATTTTATGATATCTGCCATTATAACCATCGTACCCGGAGATGGTTGGTAACACTAGCCGATTGGCAACATTGAAATTTTTCAAAAATCTTTATGTTGAGATTAAATTTCTCATTAATTCACCTTTTATTGATACATTGACTTGTATTAATCAAGAAAAAGAAGTAAAACTAATTATTGAATAAAAAGTGCTCAGTCAAAATCTAATCTAAGGATTTATTAGTGAAAACGCAGAATCTTCCGTTTTAAATAAAAACGTTTCGGCGTCGACAAAAATCGTGTTTGTGTATCAAGAACAGACATATCAACAATTCTCTTTTTATTATTGACACTATTTAACATTTGCGATATCATCTCTGATTCGTACGGGCAGAAAACGGTTTTGGGCGAAGGAGAGAGCGCGCGCGAATGGGGAAGGAAAAATCGGGATTTCGTCGTCGATTTTTATCGTATTAAAGAGAAAAATATATATAATAATAGGAGAGACGTAGCACAATTGTATAACAATAACAACGCAAGTTTTTTTTTTGAGGTATTATTGCATATAATCCTTTAAAAAAATTATATTCCGTCTTCGATAAATTATTAAATACAACACGTAAAGTCAACTCATATCGTTTTTATTACAAAAATTAGTAAATAATCGTTCGTATAGTTAACGTGAAATCAAAATTTAATTCATATTATCACTTTTAAATATAAATTTGTAAATATAGTTGCCTATACGAACGTTATTTGAGGGCGCATTATTTTACGAGTTGACTGTACAACGGGATGGTCATAATCTTGTTTATCTTTTTTTGGGGAAAAAATTGTGAAGGGGCAGTTTGGTGGAAAAAAAGTAAATTGTACGTAATTATAATAATAATAATAATAATAAATCCGTCATCGTCAATCAACATAGTCCTTAAAATAATCGCTTCAATATTTATATATATGTAGGTTATTCTTAAGACTAGTTGTTCTGTATGTTTTTTATATGTACATATTCATTTATATATATAAATAATACATAATATAATTATTAGAAAGAAGAGCCTAAAAGCAACTCAAGTATGTGTGTGTGCAACTGTATATTTTTTATTATACAGAACAATATTTACCTATAAATAATAACTTAATGGTAATAAGAAAATCTATTTTCGATGATTTTAAAACAGAAAAAATTGATTTACAATATCTATAAGAGAATAATTAAATCCTTTGACAAAATATGGGTCCGGTTCTTTTAGCCTTTACCCATTTATCTTATCAAAAACATTTTTTTAATTCAGCAAACAATGTATTGATTACGACATAGAAAACTTACAAAACAGACCCAGCACTTTTTTTTTTAAATAAGGTTAATAATAATACATTATAAAATATATAATTAGATCTGTAAATATATATTTATTTATATTTAAAATGAATATAATAAAAATATAAGGGATTTTGACAGGTGAGAAGAAAGGATAACAATACCTTGTTTGCTAGAACCAAAAAAATATAATTATTACTTTTTATTTTTCATATTATGTAAAAACCAACCAATAATAATCTATAATAATCATCACTTATTTAATAATAATTTTTTCAGTCCATGATTTTCCACACGGTTCACAGGGCACCTCTTATTATATCATTCATTACAAGTTGATGTCAAAGTTGATTTTTACTTATTTTTTTTTCGTAGATGTTGGTTGTTGTTTTGTTGGGTCGTTCCATCCCGCACTATTCTACTTTTTTTTCGATTTTTTTTGTCCAAACTTTTATTGTATATTTTTAATTGTATATAATATTTATATATATATAATATAAACAATTGTATAAATTTTAACTAAGAGTTTCTTTTTTTTTTTAGGTTACAATCACTTTCATCAATTCACTTAAAGTCTTATCATCAATTTACTTTTTTTATTAGGTCTTATATAAAGGCCATTGTTACGAAACACTAAGCTTCATCTGTTGATGATGTATCATCGTCTATCTCCTTCATGTTTGTGAAAAAGCTGGTTAGTTGCTTCAGGGCCACACCTAAGAAGCATCAAAAACACATTAAGACCAGTTTTTTTCATATAAAGTACACATAAAAATCGTGGATATTAATTATTACCTTTCCCATCGTGCTCTGCCGGATCGGTACTTGTTTCCCATTTTAGAAAACTATCGTGCGAAAGTATTGTATCATCGTATAAAGTTGAAAACGCCGACAAGTACAGGCCTAAAAATTGATAAAAAATGATTTCAACTAATTTATTAACCCTTTTTAAACAGTACCTTGTGGAACTTCCAATTTGTTAACATACGCTTGTAGCGCATACAATACTTGCAACTCGTAATCAGTTTTTGCAGCAACAAAATAATTGAACAGATTGTAGTGTTTCCGTAAGGTTTCGATTTGTAGTTTCAGCTTGACTATTGAATGTTCAAAAATGGCCGTTGCCAACACCCTAATGAATTCGTTTTCTTTTGCGCGCTCTCCTACGTTAGCCTATTCAAAATAAATCGATATTACCACACCATAATAAAAAAAATCATCTTAATCCAAACTTACATTAACCCAATTGAGTATATCATCAAAATTATTTTCATTGTCCAAGAACTCCAAAAGCTTTTTGTGAATTTGCTCATAAGATAAACCGCTTGAACATGACACCGTACTTTCTCCCCCAACCAAACATTCCAATTTCTATTAAAAAATAATAATTGAATTAAATTAAGACGAATTTTATGACGTTTCAAGATTAATTTCTTACGTAATATTTTATAAAATCGTTCACGTTTTCGCTTGGCATGAAATCTGATAAACTAAGTTCCGATGAGTTCCACATTGCCGCCAGGAAATTCGGACCTTTTTCCGTCATCACCAACTTAAAAGTAGTTGCTAAAAGCTTCGCCGCGTGACCCTGACTAATTAGGACGTTAAACGACTGATGCAGCCTTTTTAGAGGTAATGTGTTTTCGTATAATAATGATGCTATAAAAAAAATATATATTTTAAAAACATTTTATCAAAAATTAAAATCTACTTTTTTTATTTATCAACATTATCAGTTAAAAAATTTTCTTTTTCATTTAAAAGATTCAGTCCACTACTTTCACATTAATCATCATTTAAATTTTAATAAATTAAATTAGATTTAATTAAAATTAAAAGGAATATACAGTAAAACCTCGATATAACGGACTTCAGATAACAGATAGAATATTTTCCACATTCATAGATAAACTCGCGATATTCCCCCAGTTGTCTATATGGTGTATAAATCAAGTAATACAGGTAGTTCTACTTTTAGTTGTTATTCTGCTCCAGATTGTTGCATATATTTATTGAACTAACACTAGAAACATTAGGGTCTAAGGACGCATGGCTAAACCCAAAACTTTCTAGTTCTAGGTTTTTTTCATTAGCACTATTACTAGAACTAACACTATACCTAGAACTAGAATCATTCGGGTTTAGCCGTCTTGAGAGACGTTCAGCTAAACCCAAATTTTGTAGCAATGTTAAATTTAAAATCACTTTTATCTATTATAACCAAAATATAGAGATATAGTAGAAACCACGAGAGCTGGCAGTGACAGATCGCTTAAAAATGGTATGAATCAAGATATGGACGTACGACTTAGATTATTTCACCACATACATTTAAATGTGGTTATGGTAGTAATGGAGGTTATATGTCAAACATTATCAAAGATATTATTTAATGATTTTCCTTTCAAAGAAAACATTTTCGGCTTGTCATTCATGACAACGCTCACAAGACGTTTCGATTTGAGGTTATAATTATAGAGTTACATCCCTTAGGCCCACTTTTACCATCTTCCTGATAAACTATCTAGAGGATAGTTGCCATGGTTACGGCGGTTTTAAGCGCTCTCATTGGCTAAGAACTGGATTTATCTATCGGATAAATTTATCAGGAGGTGGTAAAAATCGGCCTAAGGGCCGGTTTATCAATGTCGAGTTAAATCTGTTAGATACGCAACTCATGGATAAACTTGCCTAACAGATAACCTCAGTAAACCAGTTTATCCAGCAACTTTCTACCCTACAGGCAGCAACCTACGAGATAGAACATAGATGGTACCCCTGAGTGTTAACATTAGAAACGGAAATGAAACGTAATTGGTGAAATTTGAATAATTGACTTTAGTTTGTGAGGTTGATATAAAAAGCTGATCGTGTTTTGGAGGTTATCATTCCCGTGTGCTTTTGGTATTGTGGTTTGTTTTCGAAAACCTCTTTTATAATGGAATTCCTACATGAATATTTATTAGACAACGATAAAGATGAGGATATTGTCCAACTCTTAAGTTATAAACGACGACCATATATTATAAAAGAAAGACAAAAGTCAAAACCACTTTGAGGAGTTGGACTAACACGTTTTTTTGTTAGATTTCGGTTAAAAAAGGACACAGTTTTGTCAATCTTGGTTAAAATTAAGACGAGATTATACTATATTCGATTATAGATTATATTATTATTTTTTAATTACTAGATTATTATTTATTTTCTATAACATTTTTATATTCGTTTGCCAAATCCATCGGCAAGTTCTTTTCTGCTATACTAAAATTTGATGATCTTTTCTTTCTTTTGCTTATCCATCATCAGAATTATAAGCTTAATTTATTTTTGACGTTATATTTTAATTTTATTGTCATTTCCTTTCACCAAGCAACCAAACTTGTGCTCACATTTTTTGACAATATCTAATAGGTAAACCCTTAACCAGTACTTCAATCTGGTGGGTATCCAAATGTCATATTTATCTATAAGATTACCCTAAACTACGGGTGGATAAACGATTCGTCAATGTTATCTATCAGCTACAATTTTAATTGACAGATAAATCGTCTTAACTAGATATTGATAAACCGGCCCTTAGAAGAACAGACGTACTTTTTCGACGTGGCCATTTGAATTGTACAGCAGACGTATTAAAGTAATGCTATCTCTTTCTAACACACATTACTCTCTAGCGGTTTGTGAACTACGTATGGTATTTGTAAGAGCGGAAAACGATGATTTACTGCCAGCTCTCGCGGCGTCTACTATATTAGTTCGAAAAGAATTCAATTCGAACAATTCAAAATTCTAATTTGCAATACTTCCATATAGATGTCTAGTTGAGTCAAAATTTAGGTTCATGTCCCAAGACTTATCAAAATCGAGACTAAACTGTTCTGGAGCACATACCTGCTAAGACTTCAGCTGGTATCTGTCAGTATCTGATTCTGCGCATAAAAAAATCTCCAGTCTTATACTTATTTTTAGAAATAATGGGAAATTGGAAACTATAATATTTGCACTGAGAAGTGTTAGGATAGATTTTACAGTTATTTAGTTTCAAATAGACACTCTTAAAGCTGAAATGTGTTCGGTTTACTTGAAATATCGAGATATCAAATCCATATTCATGACCGAACCTCGTCAGCTTCTAATTGTTAAAGTTTTAGCACCAATATTTATTGAAGATTGCCAAGATAACAGAGACTAAACGCTCTAACCATTGCCAACCTAAGTCTTGAATTGGATTTGAACACGATTTTAGTCTTAAACTAGCAAAGTTTCCATTTGTATGTGGAAATAGTAAAACTATACAAAATGCGTATAAAATTGAATATATACCATAAAGTACTTCACCATAAAGCACTTCACATATAAATTTAGAAATTGTGCTTTTTGGCAAACGATACATATATTGGAAGGATGTAGAAGAATCTCCAGAAGCCAAAAATCTTAAAGTTGCTTGCAGTTTTACATGAGCTGGAATGGCATCTCTCATATACGTATGTTGTTTTTGTATTTTAGAGTATAGTTGTCTCAGAACAACATGAAACTCTTCAGTCATTCTTAAATGATTAAAAAATGCTTGCTGATTTTCATGGTATAATTCTCTAATTAAAGTACTAGGTTCTAACCCAGCAACTATGTTTTCGCTTTTTTTTGTTAATAACGTGTGCAGTTCCAAGGAGCACATTTGGACTACCATATTGATATGCCAGGGCGAAGTACATCACTTGACGCCATCTTTATTACTGTGCCAGTACACAATTATAACATTTATGTGGAAACAGTGATGGGCGCTGGGTAAATATCCGGCGGGTAGGTATTTCTAAAATGGGTATTTATCCGGGTATTTACCCCGGCCCAGGGTAAATACTCAAACAATGGGTATAAAAGTGATACCAGTAAAAATATATTAGATTCCAAAAAAAAATGAAGAGGAAGATGATGAGGACGTTGAAAAGGAGGAATTCAACAATCAAAGACGTATTATCATTGGACGAATCTGTCGTAATTTAGATTAGATCAAGTTATTATGATTATTATCATCAAGCAGCCCTCTGCGTCCATTATTGGACATAGACCTCCCCTATTCTGTTCCATTCGATTCTATTCTGTGCTGTCTGAATCCAATTGTTGGTCATTCTTTTGACGTCTACTTCGTCTGTTTGCTCGCGGTCTCCACTCAAGCAATCGTTTTATCCACTGCTCATTCTTCATTCGCGCGACATGACCCGCCCAGTTCCACTTAAGCTTTGCCACAATGTTGACCACATCATTTACGCCAGTTCTTCTTCATAGGTCTTCATTTCGTATGTAGTCCCTCAGAGTTAGACCCAGGATCGACCTAGGATCGAAATCTATCTTTGTGTTACTTGGACCCTCCTGGCAGTGGCTACCGTTAATTTTAAAGTTTCGGAGCCTTATGTCATAGCCGGAAACACGTATTGATTGAAAGCCTTTCTTGGCCTTTTCTCTTGAAGATGTCTATAAGTTGAAGATAGATGTCTATTTGCACACACCCCCTTTAAGTCGCTCAGCGTTAGTTTAATCTCTCTAAAGCTATCCAAAATAAGAACTATATCGGCCGCGTAGCGCAAATTACTTAAGCATTTGCAATTAATGTTTATGTCTTTTTGGGTCAAATCCAGTTGTTTAAATGCATTCTGAGGACTGTAATGAACAATTTGGGTTCAACAGCGTATCGCCTTGTTTTACTCACAATCAGTGATACTCTCTTCAGTACTTTTATGCAATTTTCCCGTCATTATAGCATTCTTGTAGATGTTATAAATAAGTTTGGTATATCGATAATCGACTCTGAATTCTTGAAGTGCTTGCAAAACTGCCATCAACTCAATTTAAATTAAATTTTATAAATACCTCTAGGATTCGTCGGATTATCCAGGAAATTTTCCCTTGAAAATAAATACCCGGGTATTTAACAACACTGTGTGGAAACAACTTCTGGCGCCAGCTAATTGGCGCCACTAAATTGGCTTCGTACTGGCGCCAATTATCCATGTATGTGGAAACTTAGCTTTATGTCAAATTTAGATAAAACATCGAGTTTTCAAAACGAAATTCATGTTTCTAGACTTGTCGAAATCCTATATGTCATTTAGTACGTTTAGTTGCAAGGTTATTTTAATTTCAAGTGAACTCAATTAATTTCAGCAATTCGAATCGATAGTATACTGAATATTTCAATAGATGTATCTACATCCGAACTGATCTCCCCCCTAAATCCCAATCAACCCTATGCAATCAATTAAAAGACTATTTCAATACACCATAAGACTCAGTAGAATGGCAAGAAGAAGCTACAAAGAAGTTTAACATAGCCACTTTATATAAAATATTAGCTTACTTTTATACTATTTTGAATTCTAGCTTCCATTCTATTATTAGAATGGTACTACCTTTAGTAGTGCCATTCTAGCTTTTACCATTTTCAAACATAAACCCTATACTATAATACAGCAAATCCCAGCAAATACTCAAAACGCACATTCAGACTTGCGTCAAGACTGCTTCCGAAGCAGACGTGTATGACGCACGCGTAAGTCGCACCGCATTGCGTTAAGGCTCGTACAGACACGTTTAGTAATTTAGTCGAGTAGCGAGTAGCCACTTACCACTGGAACGTTTAGTAGATGGCAACTGCCCACATTTAATACGCTCAAGACACTTTAGTGGTACTCAAGATGAATAAACGACGTCATCGCTCGCAATACAATAAATTGCTAATTCACTAAATTAAATTTATGCGTTCGCACGTGTTTAGTGGCAGTTGTGAGTAGTGGGGGTACGCTACTCGACCGAAAAAATAGAATCAAATGGATCTACTCGACTAAATTGTACTGTCCGCACGTGGCGAGTTACTAAATTACTCGCTACTCGACTAAATTACTAAACGTGTCTGTACGGGCCTTTAGTTCGCATTCATAGGAAATCTATTATGCTTAACTAGGTGGCATCTGTGGTTAAGTGTTGAACGCACGCGTAACACGCTTGCGACAGACGCGGATAGGAAATCCCACCTTAAACCCGATTGGTTCTAGTTCTAGTGACAGTGCACAAGTATAAAACTAGATCTAACACTATACCTAGAATTAGAAACATTCGGGTTTCGTCGTCTTGAAAGACATATGGCTGAACTCGAATGTTTCTAGTTCTAGTATTAGTTCTAATGACAGTGCTTATTAACGCTAATTAGTAGATACCATCATGTTGCACTTTTTTATTGAACTAAAACTAGAGCTAACCCTAGAACTAGAAACATTCGTGTTTGTTTCTCAAGATAGCTAAACCCGAATGTTTCTAGTTCTAGATATAGTGTTAAAATTAGCTCCACTAAGTGTGAATCCCTGTCCAAATTTGTGTATTGAAATTATTCATATAACGAACATTCCCTTCCCCATATTAATCCGTTATATCGAGTTTTGCATTTAATTTTACTTACCAATTATCTCTCCTAAATAGTCCCAAATCATTGGTATATCTATCGTTAAATCATCAGCTTGACTAAGAACATCCTCAAGCCCCATACAATACTGATCCAACGATAATCGATTCATTTTAATTAATTGAGCATAAAAACCGCTCAATTTAACGCGAGCAGTCGTTGAACGTTCCAGGACAATATTGTAACCGGTCGAAACGAATTGAGCGTAAGCCGTTTCGGGGATATTATCGCGAATATCTTCTTCGCACGCCTCCACGGTCGAACAATCATTTAAGTATTCTTCAATGATTGTCTTAACTTTCAGTTCAAGTTGTTCGGGCGTTAGATCAGGGATTATTTTAGATGATGGCGGAGGTGCCACAATATTTAATGGTGACGGCGGCGGCATCTGTTTCGGCACGGAAGATTGTGGTTGCTGAGCGTTCGTCGAAGAAATCGGCGTTGAACGTTGTGAACCGTTGTGTGAACGATGCTGCGAACCGGACCTAGAACCTCTACCATCTAAAAAAATCAAAAAAAAAAAGTTAATTTTGACATAATAAAAATCATAAAATTAAATTACCTTCATATGATGAATGTTTGTAATTTCTTTCAAGACTTGGTCCTTTAGAAGTGTAAGGATCCTTCGATCGATAAGTGCCACCCATAGAACTCCGTTTTTCAACATCATTACCCATATTTTCTAACGGAGCGTACATATTAGCGAGGGAAGACGGTGGGTTTGTTTTAAGATTAGATCCGCGACCCCATTGCCCAAACATATTGCTGGATCCCAATGGTTCATCGAATTGAGGCTACAGGCAGAAGATAAAACATCCAATCACCGTCATATTGATGAAAAAAAAAATTTAAACAACACATTAACTTAACATGCAGAACAGAATTAAATTTAAAACTATTAAAAAGGCACTGATACAACAACAATGGGGTGGACAATGCTAAAACAAACTTTATTGACACATCATCAAAATAAGTTCAAAAACTTACAGGTTTATTTTTAAGCTTGTCGGATTGCACAGTGAATGAGGCGCGACTTCCGCGTGTTTGCGACGTGGTCCAACCCTCGTTGTCGCTAACGTTGTTACGACGTTGTTTCTTATCGGTGGATGATGATGAGCTTCGGTCATCTTTACGTGGCGTGTGAGGACCGGAATTCATCGCTTGAATGTTTAATTGTTCGTCATTCGCTTCCTGTTGTATCTGATCGATGGTCTTAGGATTAGTGTCTTGACGACGAGGCACCCATTTGGCAGAACGCAAGTCGATCACATCTTGCAACATAAATCTAACTCTACTGCTAATTTTTCCGTGTTTTCTATCGGCTATTTCTTTCACAGTACCGAAAATGTGATTTAACGACATTTTTCGTTTCTCTAATTCTTCACCAATAGTCGATAACAATTTACAAAGACATTCTAAACTTTCTTCATCTCTATTCCCCAATAAATTCTCTAAACAACGCATCATTATGTTGTTTGTTAACATATTTCTTTTATACAATTCGCCTATAAAACGGATATTTCCGACTGATTTTCTTCGTAGCCGTCGCTCTTCATCTTCTAAAAGTAACTGTAATTCTTTTTTCTTTTCCGGGTCTGTACATTCATCTATGTCTTGTACCATTTTATTGTGTGACTTTTCTTCTTGAGAATTTTTTTCGAATTCTTTTTGACATCTTGTAATAAGCAATTTTCTAAAGTTAACAAATTCCCCTTCTTTCTTATTGTTCGCGGGCACTTGTATCAGTGCCACTTCGCTACACATGTTCGCGTAGGAAACTGAAAAGTTGGGTTCATCTACCGCCTTTTCAAACACCAGATCTATAACGCCCTGTAACCTATCGGACGTATCAATTTGTAAATTTTTGATTTGTTGTAGTAGGGCGTCGAATTTTTGCGGCGTCAATTTATTTAGAATACCACGAACTTTTTTGTATAATTCCTAATTATTGTTAAAAAAATAAGATAATTAGAAAATAATTTTGAAAATTAAATTAATTTTAATTACGTGAGTTTTCTTGTCCTCTTCGGGTTGCTCGCCGCTACTCGTAAATCGAGTTGGTTTCCACGCGTTTTCAGTTACATTTAACTTAACGTCTTTATGTAAAGACACTCTAACCACTTCAGCTTTACTGCTTTTTGAATTTCCACTAGCTTTACTCATTTGGCTATTTCTCTTTGTGCTGGCCTAAAAAAATAAATAAAGGAATTACTCCAAATAAACAAAAAAAATCGTTAAAAAAATCGCTATTTATTACTTCAGTTTGAAATTAACTTCATTTTATTTTTTTGAAGACTTCAGATCACTACTTTCACTCAAAATTTACATCATTTTAACCCTTTGTGTCTTTTTAAATTGTAGTCATCTATTCAGCGCATTTAAAGCTGTCGGTACTTTCTACTATATAAGAAAGAACCTGTATAAAAATGATGTAATCCGCACTGTAGGGTTTTTAGGTATATTTAAACTTATTCATCCAGATGTGAGGTTAGAAGTTTAGTAAAAAGTGGTGTTGCTGAATTTTGTTGTTGAAAAAGGTATCTCATTGATAAATGGTTATTAGGTGTGATTTGTAAGCAGCTTTGTGTATTTGTTTACCAATTACAATTTTCAAACATTTCTTATTTTTATCGCGATAAAAGTTACATTTACATTTTGTGTTTAGTACATAAAAGTACCGTCAGGATAATAACAGGTACAATATTGAGATTGATGTAAAAATGAGCCAAGCGAATACAGATACGTTTTGGTACTTAAACAAAGCGTTGACTGATGAAGAACTTTTGGTTGAGGCTGAAAAAGTTTGTGTTGAATTAGAAAATCTCGTGTTAGATAATTCTGAACAGACAGACATAGAAGATGAAGAAGATGATATTGTTATTACTAGTGGTATAGTAGACGCCACGAGAGCTGGCAGTAAATCATCGTTTTCCGCTCTTACAAATGCCATACGTAGTTCACAAACCGCTAAAGAGTAATGTGTGTTAGAAAGAAATAGCATTAGTTTAATGTGTCTGCTGTACAATTCAAATGGCCACGTCGAAAAAGTACGTCTGTTCTTCTAAGGGATGTAACTCTATAATTATAACCTCAAATCGAAACATCTTGTGAGCGTTGTCATNCAAAATGAGGAAAATGCCGCTGAAGTAGTAGAAATACGTGGCAAAGGGCCCCAGAAGAAGAACAAGGCAGAAATTGATAGATAATGGAGAAAACTGGAAAAGCAGACTGAAACTCCAGAAATTTTCTAGTTCTAGTGTTAGTTCTAGTAATAGTGCTAGTGCAACAACTAACTAATCAAAATGAGGAAAATGCCGCTGAAGTAGTAGAAATACGTGGCAAAGGGCCCCAGAAGAAGAACAAGGCAGAAATTGATAGATAATGGAGAAAACTGGAAAAGCAGACTGAAACTCCAGAAATTTTCTAGTTCTAGTGTTAGTTCTAGTAATAGTGCTAGTGCAACAACTAACTAATCAAAATGAGGAAAATGCCGCTGAAGTAGTAGAAATACGTGGCAAAGGGCCCCAGAAGAAGAACAAGGCAGAAATTGATAGATAATGGAGAAAACTGGAAAAGCAGACTGAAACTCCAGAAATTTTCTAGTTCTAGTGTTAGTTCTAGTAATAGTGCTAGTGCAACAACTAACTAATCAAAATGAGGAAAATGCCGCTGAAGTAGTAGAAATACGTGGCAAAGGGCCCCAGAAGAAGAACAAGGCAGAAATTGATAGATAATGGAGAAAACTGGAAAAGCAGACTGAAACTCCAGAAATTTTCTAGTTCTAGTGTTAGTTCTAGTAATAGTGCTAGTGCAACAACTAACTAATCAAAATGAGGAAAATGCCGCTGAAGTAGTAGAAATACGTGGCAAAGGGCCCCAGAAGAAGAACAAGGCAGAAATTGATAGATAATGGAGAAAACTGGAAAAGCAGACTGAAACTCCAGAAATTTTCTAGTTCTAGTGTTAGTTCTAGTAATAGTGCTAGTGCAACAACTAACTAATCAAAATGAGGAAAATGCCGCTGAAGTAGTAGAAATACGTGGCAAAGGGCCCCAGAAGAAGAACAAGGCAGAAATTGATAGATAATGGAGAAAACTGGAAAAGCAGACTGAAACTCCAGAAATTTTCTAGTTCTAGTGTTAGTTCTAGTAATAGTGCTAGTGCAACAACTAACTAATCAAAATGAGGAAAATGCCGCTGAAGTAGTAGAAATACGTGGCAAAGGGCCCCAGAAGAAGAACAAGGCAGAAATTGATAGATAATGGAGAAAACTGGAAAAGCAGACTGAAACTCCAGAAATTTTCTAGTTCTAGTGTTAGTTCCAGTTTTGCACTAGCACTATTACTAGAACTAACACTATACCTAGCTGTCTTAAGAGACGTGCAGCTAAACCAGAATGTTTCTAGTTCTAGTATTAGTTCTAATGGCAGTACTTATTAGCGCTAGTTAGCACTAGACATCATAATGTTGCATATTTTTATTGAACTATAACTAGAACTACCAACACTAGACCTAGAACTAGAAATATTCGGGTTTAACCATCTAAAGAGACGCAGGGCTAAATCCGAATTTTTCTAGTTCTAGGTCTAGTGTTAGTTCTAGTTTTGCACTATCACTAGAACTAACACAAGACCTAGAATCATTTGGGTTTAGACGTCTTAATACTTTCGTGACCGATCACGTATTGTTACGTTTTGACGTTACCTAATTGTTTATTGAGCGGCAACGCAAATGTTAAGAGACGCAAGACTAAACCCGCATGTTAATGTTGAAAAGAAAGAGGAAGGTGTGAAAATTGTGCTGCCAAAGCTATTCAATCCAGACCCCACTCAAAACGTACTGCCTGCAATGTTTATTTATGTTGTAATGAAAGTAAAAACTGTTTTTCTGAATATCATAATGTGATTTAGCTAAAGCTCAAGTGTTATTTATTTTCTAACGTAATAAAAAATGTTTTTGTATACTGCAGCATCACTACAAAATATTTTAATGCCTGATGATACTCTCAAGTACCATTATTCCTCTAAAATGGGGGGAGTACCATATTTTGCTAAAATTGATTCCAAAAGCCTATACTGAGTGTATTTTGATAGCGTTTTATTAATTCTGTCACAAAATTTCAAAACTTCACTTCTTGAGACACAAAGAGTTGCATAATTTTTAATTTAATTGATAAATTTGAAAAGATATACTTACACCGCCACGTGATGACGATTTTCCAGCATAATTTGGAGCACTAAATTGTGGAGTAAAGTCAGTTGTGCGGTTCATAATATTACCAGGATACGGATACCGGCTAATATCACCGATTCGACCTCTATCCTCTTGTAAGACGACTTCGAGGAGATTGTCAGGTTTTCTTCTGCTCTTTGGATCGTCTTTTAGAGCCAATAGGAAATCTTTGCCATAACTTTTCTTACCATCAAGATTAAATGGCGACCATTGGTCTAAAAATTTGCAAAAAGAAGATTATATCAAAAAAGACTTGAATAAAATACTTTTATATAAGAAAAAAAATTTTTCAGCAACGAGGAATTCCAATGAGTATCTTTCATTTGATAGATTAAATCAGCTTGGAAGTTTCATCATAATTTTTGTTAAGATTTAAAGTTAAAAGTATGTAAAAGGAAAAACTTACCATCTTTATAAATTAATTTTTGCCTAATATCACCCGCGCTACTATTCTCTATATCGGAAGAATTATTTTTAATATTAACCTCATTCTTGGCCTGCACCAATTTTTCATTAGACAAATCAATTTTATCCCCATTTTTATCAACAGCTGAAACATCATGCGCCGTAAAAGGTTTCGGAACGTCCTTAACGATATCGGTAACATCGAAAGCCTTTATTGAGGGCGGTTTAACGGTTTCAGTAACTGTGATTGTCGCTGGTTGCGGCGGCTGAACTTCCGGCTGTTCAGCAATTTTATTAGAATCGACCACTTCCTCTCTATTAATATTAACAGGAGGAGATACAGTCGGAACGACGCTACTAGTTTCCTTCGTCGCATGATGGACGATCGTGGAAACGACTGTGGCAGGTACCGCAGGGGCAGCATTAACTACCGATGGGAATCCACCCCTGCCGACGACGTTTACGGGAGATTCAGGATTGTTCGCATGATTATCGCTAAACGCGTCCATATCTGTACCCTCCTTATTAGCACCTTTCATGTTAAGCTCCTTCATTTTATTTGTTTTATTAGTCGGCTTCGACGGTTGCGTTTGCGGGACAGGAACTTGTATCGACGGCTTATTAACCGATTCCCGTTGTTGTATTGGTGGTTGTTGTAGCTGCTGCTGTTTATTGTCCCGTTGTTGTGCATTTTTCTGTTTTGCTTTACCTTAAAGAAAATTAAGGATGGGTTAGAACAGAAAGTATTAAAAATCTGTGGTAATTAACAAGGTTAATACAACGATGGCGTAGAGATAAAAATATCGAGATAAATAATTCCAAGTTATAAGATGGCGCTCTTTATAATATTCATCAAAAGTTCAAAAAAAAAAAAAAAAGATAAACCAAGGTCAATAAGACAATAATATGCATTAAATTTATTTATTCAAAGAAAAGCTCCGATTAAACATTTTTTTTTCTTTTTAATGTGTATTATGTTGGTTGAGTTAATAATTATCTAATGATAGTTCTAGTGACAATGGTAGAAAGCGCTAGTTAGCATAACACATCACTATGTTGCATATTTTTATTGCACTAAAATTAGAACTAACACTAGACCTAGAAAGTCTAGTGTTAGTTCTAGTTTTGCACTAGCACTATCACTAGAACTAACACAAGACCTAGAACTAGAATCATTCGGGTTTAGCCGTCTTGAGAGACGTGCGGCTAAATCCGAATGTTTCTAGTTCTAGGTCTAGTTCTAGTGACAATGGTAAGTAGCGCTAGTTAGCATAAGATATCAGTATGTTGCATATCTTGATTGAACTAAAACTAGAACTAACACTAGACCTAGAAATATCCGAAACTTTCTAGTCTAGTGTTAGTTCTAGTTTTGCACTAGCACTATCACTAGAACTAACACAAGACCTAGAACTAGAATCATTCGGGTTTAGCCGTCTTGAGAGACGTGCGGCTAAATCCGAATGTTTCTAGTTCTAGGTCTAGTGTTAGTTCTAGTTTTGCACTAGCACTATCACTAGAACTAACACAAGACCTAGAACTAGAATCATTCGGCTTTAGCCGTCTTGAGAGACGTGCGGCTAAATCCAAATGTTTCTGGTTCTAGGTCTCGTGTTGATTCTAGTTTTACACTAGCACTAGAACTAACACAAGACCTAGAACTAGAATCATTCATGTTTAGCCGTCTTGAGAGACCCGCACGTCTCTCAAATACGAATGTTTCTAGATCTAGTGTTAGTTCTAGTTTTGCACCAGCACTATCACTAGAATTAACACAAGACCTAGAATCATTCGGGTTTAGCCGTCTTGAAAGACGTACCGCTAAATCGGAATGTTTCTAGTTATAATTTTGCACTAGAACTAACACAAGACCTAGAACTAGAATCATTCGGGTTTAGCCGTCTTTAGAGACGTGCGGCTAAACCCGAATGTTTCTAGTTCTAGGTCTAATGTTAGTTCTAGTGACAATGGTAAGTAGCGCTAGTTAGCATAAGATATCAGTATGTTGCATATCTTGATTGAACTAAAACTAGAACTAACACTAGACCTAGAAATATCCGAAACTTTCTAGTTCTAGTGTTAGTTCTAGTTTTACACTAGCACTATCATTTGAACCAACACAAGACCTAGAACTATAATCATTTGGGTTTAGCCATCTTGAAAGACAAAGTTAATACAACGATGACGTAGAGATAAAAAATATCGAGATAAATAATTCCAAATTCCAAGTTATAAGATGGCGCTCTTTATAATATTCATTAAAATTTCAACCAAAACCGCTTAAAATGATATAGATAACCCAAAAAAAAAAAGATAAACCAAGGTCAATAAGACAATAATATGCATTAAAATTATTTATGCAAAGAAAAGCTTCGATTAAACAATTTTTTCTTTTTAATATGTATTATGTTGGTTGCGTTAATAGTTATTAACAAAAAAACTTGAAATTTTATCGTAATATGATTGATATTATGTTCCACATGTTACAACATATGTCTAGGTTAAAATCAGGTTTGCCAACGTTGCAAAAAAAACGAAGTGAGAGAATAAAATCATATTTCATAACAAGGTAAACCAGACATTCAACTTTCTAAAATTTTCGGTGTTCAAGCAATGGCGACGACGAAATGTAATTTAATGCGAATGAAAAGGTGAAGAGAAAGGGTTTTGTAAAATCGAAATTGTTCGCTTTAAAAATATTACCTCTATTTACTACTTGCCACTCGGACATATCCAACAAGGCCGGTTCAGGCATCTATTCTTAGAACTGACGACCAGACGACGACGAGTAGGAGTTGGGGTGCATCAAGATCCAAATACGGTTATAAAAAACTAAAAACGTATTCTCGCGCATACAAAAAAAAGGAGAGAAATAAAATTTCGATTTTGTTTCCCCGTTTCCTTTTCAATTGGAAATCCTTAAAACGATAAAGTATGTGTGTGGTTGAAACGTATGGCGCAAGGTCACAAATAAATTATTATATACGCGCTGCGAAAACGAAAAACTTAAAAATGATCACTCGAAAACGTTAACGCGAATTGATTAAATTAAAATAATAGTAGTTAATACAACGAAATCTCTAATTCTTGAGTATTATTTTAAAAAAACGAACTGCACGTATTGCGGTACAATTACTTTACCACGTTGCGTACGACCCATGTGGTCGACGCATAATGAAGTGAAGTGTCTGCCATCTTAGAAGGACATCGTAAACGATCGGAACAACACGATTCTATACGAAAGGTGAAATTTTTGTTCTTCGTAAACGATCGGACTAGCGCGATTTTATACGAACGTTAAAATTTTTGGACTTTTACTGAAAAAATGGCGTACCAACCTATTTTTAAACATCGCTATCGAACCACGTGATAATACCCGAAAATCGCGTTATTACGATACCCGAACTTTTTTTTAAGATTAAAATCTAAGATTTTTCTTTTTGCGTCACTCCACGATCGGAATTTCGATCGCGTACGATTAACGGCTGCGCTTTTGGCCCGGTTTCGATGAATGAATTTTATTAGAAAAACGACCTCTTACGGTTAGTGCAATCGCCTACGTCAACAAGAAGAAGTTTGAGGTTATAATTACACATGGTGCCTCACCGCAATCGTTACGGAAACCGCAACAATCTAATTTTATTTAATGATTATTATTGTTTTTTTTATATAAAAATGTATCAATTTTCTTCGAGGAGCCGAAATATTACCGAAACAAGATGTAAATGTAATATAAATAAAAAAAATAACTTTCTAACCTAAATATGTCAATGTGACGTTTGCTACGTTCTATTCTAAAAAAAACGTTCTGAAAAATTATGATGACGAAACACTAAATATATTTGTTAGAATTTAGTTACATTTAAAAATGAAATTCCAATTTTATTTATTAACTAGACTATTTTTACTAGACACCTTTCAACATTTTAAACTGAAATTATTTTCGAAACGAGAATGAATCATTTAATGGCTAAGACAGAAAGTTTATATTACAGCATCCTCGATTTGGTTGGAATACGGAAGGGTGCTTTATAAAGATGAAAATATTTCAAATTTTTTATTCCAGTTACGAGAAGAACTTACAGCTGAGTGTAGAGATTGTGCAGAAAGAACAGCTTTATATCACTATTTTTTCAAAAAGGGAAAATAATTGCTAAATATTGTTCAGGTAATACAGCAATTGGAATTTTCAAAAGAAATTAAGATTAATTAAGTTGTTACACCGGGAATTTCATATAACTCGCAAACATGAATGCAGTAACCATAGTTACGAAACTACTGTGCACTTGCACTGTCCCACATAAAATGCAACGTTGCTCAATAGTACAGGCATTGGGTAGTTTTGCAAAGGAAAAGTTTTGCTTGGAAAAAGGTGGCGTCCTTATGACAACCCTGAGTTTTCCGCCGTCTTAAGAGACGCACTAAACCCGAATATTTCTAGATATAGTGCTTGTTCCACTTTTAGTTCAATAAAAATATACTACAATCTAGTACTGAATAACAATTAAAACTAGAACTAACACTAGACCTAGATCTAGAAACATTCGGATTTAGCCGCACGTCTCTCAAGACGGCTAAACCCGAATGATTCTAGTTCTAGGTCTTGTGTTAGTTCTAGTGATAGTGCAAAACTAGAAATAACACCAGAACGTTTCGTCTGAAGACGCAATATAATACAAAAAAAATAGTAAAAAGATAATGCTTTCTGCATTCAAATGTAAAGATGTGAAGACAACTTTTAGTGGAAATAGGTACAGTGCGACCTCGATAATTGGGATTTTCATTAATTCAACAGAAGAAAATGATATTTCACTGAACAATGCTCTTGTACTTCAAATCAAAAGAAACATCTTTTATAATGAACCAGAAAATGATCAAGCAAATAAAAATTAATGAGATATACTTCTGTTCATTTCTGTTGTAAATAATCTTTATGTAAATACTATTTTTTAGATGTGTTATAACAGAACGATTAACGAAAAATTTCTGATCTAAATGTCATATTTACAGCGTTAACTGTAACAATTACGCTTTAGAAGATGAAAGTATTCCACAAGCAATTTATTAATCTCTTTCATATAAAAATATGTTCCCATCTTCATAAGTTATTGTATATCAACTGATATATTTATGAGATATGTTCAAAATTTCTGTAGTTCGGAAGAGTTCTGGACCTTTCTGCACATACATATTGCCTACTATAAGTATGCGCGGAAAGGTTTAGAACTGTTCAGGACTACAGACCTCTTGAACCAAAACAAGCCTTATAAATGTCTTGGTATACTCCTATAATTATTAATATTATTATTATTTTATTGCGAATACAGACTGCATCCTCTTAATGGCTTTATTTTCTATTTGCACACTGAGAAAACAAATAAATAAGGATGACGCTAAATAAGTATATAGAAAATATTTTGAAATTTTAAAATATTTGATATAAATAAATATTTATATCAAATATATCTATAAATATTTGTTTTGGAAATACTGTATGTGTGTAAATACTGCATTTGTTATTTGGCAGACGGTCAACTCTGCCGTTACAGAAGCCACAATTGTTGAAGGAAATCTACGCATTGATGTCGACCACCACCTCATCCAATTTGTCATAAATTTTGTTTAGTTGCCAGTTTTTCAGTGAGCGATAAATGGGCCTTTGTGGAAGAATGAGTATGCAGTTTCCAAACCTTATTGATTTATGTAGTTCTTGTTACCCGGTATTAACATGTTATGGCCTTAAAATAATTATTGATTAATGAACAGAATATTATTATTAAAAAGAATTTTTGTAAGTTATAGTAGTTTCCATAGATTCTTTTACTGCGACATATTCAGCAATAGTTTATATCCTCCTATAAATATAAAATGACTTTCTGACAATAACCTAGAACCATAACTTATAGTAATATTGGAGATCGCTCATAACAAGAATCTTCTGGTCCTCTACTACATATTACAATATTCCAACAAATTAGAGAAGCTGAACACAACATTAATAGAAAAAATTACAAATTACTAGTTAATTACTGCCAGTAACTAAATGCATCAAAAAAGGTTTTTGTTCATTTCTATGAGCTCGTTGTCATTACAAGGCCATTCGGATAGTCGTGAAACGATCAGTGTGGAGATCTTGAAACAACATTTGGTTTCCTAAGCTGTTATTCTCGTCTACGCGACCAGACTTACAACAAATGAGGTGTTATCAAAAATTCATTTAATTGGAGATTTCCATAATGCTTTGAAATAACAAATGTCGACAGATACATCAACTAAATATAGAGCAATAATTTTAGGATAATAAAACAATTTCGGTTCAGAATGAAATATTCAATACACATTATGAGTATTATTATGATTGACTAGGATTAAATCACTAAATGGAACCTTGATGGTACTTTATATTCAATGAATAGTATATTCAATGAGGCGTTTGTAGTAATTTCGTTTTCACTTTATCATTACTTTCAACCAACCTAACTCGGTTATTTTTTTAAACATAATTGAACTCACTTCAACTATTAGCCCAAATATACAGTCACTTTTTCTTTTTATCCACCAAACATTCAAAACTTTAAAAAATAAAAAATTTAAAAGCTACTTACTATTATCTAAGATAGGACCACTTCCTGGAGCTGCACCATGATCACTAGTTACATCCTGTACTGGATTAAATTTTTGCTGTTGTTCCGTCTTTTCTTTTCGACCACCCACATTTTTTTTCTGATCATCCCTTGGTATCACTACATCCTTGGCACCAACGGTATCCTTGTTTGTAAATGGTGGAGGTGTTGCCAGCGCGATTGTTGGTTGTAATTCCTTGGGTAGTGGTGGTTTTGTTTCCTCCTTGGCAATTGGTTGTTGTTGTGGAGGTTGTTGTTTTGATTCCTCTTTAGGTCTCCTGTTATCTACAGAGGAAGATACTTGGATGGTGTCCTTTGGTACATCTTTCTCTTTCGGAACACCTCCATGATCACCACGTTGTTTCCGGTTTTTCGCGGGACTTTCCCTGTCCTTTATTGACCCTTGTTTGATCGTCAATTCAGGAACATCTACGTTTGCCGAAACAACTGGCGTTGATTCTTTAACGGGCGGTTGAGGAACAACTGGGATTAAACTCGGTATGAATTCTTTTTGGGATACCTTAAATAAAATTATTATTAGAACATAAATTTTGTACAACGCTCAATAAATTTACCTGTAATTTTGTTGTAAATGGTACAGAATCATGTCTAATTTGCATGCTATTGCTATGTTGTTGCACGACAGCCTGATTGAGCATTTGGAATGCAGGTGGCATGTTAGTATGGGTATCTAGATGCTGCTGTTGTTGCTGATCAACGACAGGTACTGATGAGGAATGATCCAGATCTTCCATTTTATCTTGGTTAATTAGCATTGTTACTTGTTTATTAAACACCGTTTGAATTTCTTTACTCGGCATATTCATCAATTTTGGCGTTTGTCTCGCAGATGATTCCGCTGACGCAGGAAGCGACTCAACCTCATCATAAACCTCATTTAATTTATCTACTCCTGATACTGGATCAATGATTGGTATCGCTTTTGCCGGCCGTGTTTTTTTCGAACCCCCTGTTTGTTGGACATTTTGAGGGAGATTTGGAGTCATCCCTTGAAGTGGCGGTTGTTGCGGCAAACTTTGTGGCACCGTTACCATCGGCGCATGTGCGCGTGGTACATGAAATTGACCATAAACTATAAACATATAAATAATTTTTATTAAAACATTTTCAATATATTCTTAAGGTGTGTCCCCAGACATTGCGCGGCATCAACGCGGTAGCAAAGGGTTGATTAAGGGTGATGGTCCCCTAAATTTTGACAGATTTTTTAACCTTTTCGTGGATTTAATACATTATTACCTCATTTCATGTGGAATTCAATTCTAAAACTTTTTTAGTCTTATTATTTTTTTTTTAACATTGTCGTTTTCATAAAAAGCTCAAATAACTAAAGACACAAATTTCCTTAATGCTACTTAAAATCATCGAAAATTCAGTAGTCGGCTGTGAAATTGTACGTCAAACTTGACAAATAGGTTATAAAAGCTTGTCGTCAAATAACTTTATAACCTATTTGTCAAGTTTGACGTACAATTTCATAGCCAACTACTGAATTTTCCCTTATTTAAAGTAACATTACGAAATACGTGTCTTTAGTTATTTAAGTTTTTTATGAAAACGACAAAGTTTTTTAAAAAGTAATAAGAGTAAGAAAAGTTTTAGAATTAAATTCCACATGAAATGAAGTAGTAATGTATTATATCCGCCAAAAGGTTAAAACTTTGTGTCAAAATTTAGGCTTCATCAACCCTTTGAAATGCCACAATTGAGTTCAATTTGCTACTAATTAATACCCTTGGTACACTCATAATGTATACTAAATTTGGTTTTTCTAGTTTAATGTATTACAAAAATATTGAACTTTTTAAAAATTTAAGAGCCAACTTTGAAGGCGAGTTATAGGCCTTCAAAGTTGGCTCTTAAATTTTCTCTATGTTGATAAGTCTCTGCTCTATGTTGGTTCTTATGTGAACCACCTGTATATGGACAATGTCTGGACACACCTTTATACATATTATTTTAAATTAAACAGTTTAAACTTACATTGAGGTTGTGTAGCTTGAGCAGGCGGATAGGTAGTAAATGTATACTGACTCTGGAAGAGCGGTGGAACAAGTTGTTGCGGTCGTTGCGAATTATAAAACGGTACACAATACATTTGATGGACCTGTTGTTGCATCGGTACATAAGGTCCCGTCGATTGCGTTTGGAAAACAGGTTGTTGTGGAACCTGCCGATGATTTGGCATCCTTGGTGCTTGCGTTTGCTGTGGAGGTCCCCTAGGAGTGTAAAAATTTTGTGTTCCGCCGCGCACCTGTTGTGGTTGCTGTACAAACGCCTAAATGGGGCGAATAAAACAATTTTCAATCAAATATTCACGCAGGCTAAGAATGAGCGATTACTAACATTAAAACCTACCAGATTCATACCAGCCTGGCCAACGGGCGCCACTTTTAAGTCGTTATTAGGTGGCGTTGACGGTTGTGTTGGAGGCCCCGTTGGTGCCATCCCCGGTCTTATTGGGGCTTGATTACCACCAGCTTGTGACGGCGGCGGTCCATATTGTTGAGGTGCTTGTACATGATAATCTGTTCCTAAATTAATAAAAAAAAATCATTAACAAAAATTGAAATCTAAAAAAATATTCTTTAAACAAAGTTTTTGTATTACTTACTACTTTGTGGTGTTGGCGGCCTTTGTATATAACTAAAAGCATCTTAAGGAAAAAGGTTATGTTTATAATTTTTAATGGATAAAATGTAATAAGCTGGCAATATACGTATAAAAAATCGTTTGGATGATTTAATAAAAATCATAAAGCAGAACGAAGTTTATAATAGTCACGTGTAGATTAATGAATACGAAAACTGTGCGCACCTTCTTCGCAAAATGAGGTTATGTTTAAGAACTTTTAAGAATTTAATGCAACGAAATTATTGATTCCAGTAAATTGACAAAACTTTAAAAACCTTGTCTCTGTTGGGATGTTAAGGTGGGGGGAAGAAACCGGATTATAATAAGTGAAGATAATAGAAAATAATTGATGATGAAAAAAAACTTGTTCGAAATTGATTTATAAATGAACGAAAAAATTTTATAAAGGTGGTGTGCATGTTGCAGATAACGTTTCGTTCATGGATCTTGTGACCTATTTAAGTTAATTGAATTTGAAAAAAAAAAAAATGGGGGTCCCATCACTTACTTTGTGGCTGTATCATCCGATAGTGATGAGCGGGTTGAGGAGGTATGAGGCATATACCCTCCTGTTTTACGGGCCCATTTGCAACATACCTCGAGACCATGCTTCCTCGCTATTTCCTTTTTTTTTGTATTACAATTTTTTATGGTTGGTTACGATAATTTTGATGTGACTGGGGACAACTATTCAAATGCGCCCGTTAGTCCTCCGCGCTGGGACCGCGGCTGGTCTTCGCCAAAACGCATCGATCTCACGGCTACGCGAAAGGAATGTTGTCGTCAACATTTTCAACGTCTCTCCTCCTATTTAGAATAAATCGCCTCACACTCTTAAAACGATCGCGGTCATGAATACGTACGCAATGTCAAATACCGCATATTATTATTTCAGCGAACAAAAAAAAATAAATAAATTAGTGTCACTCTCGCAGTTTCGTTCCACGCGCTCGCTTTATTAAGGGATTGTGAACATTTTCTTGCGCCCGAATCCGCCGCTGCCACACCAAACGTAAAAATCGATAAGGGAGTTTTACGAATTCCACGGGAACGCATACATCACTTTTGCAACAACAAAAAAATCACTAATTTAACGGATTCCGTTCGCGAACCGTTCAGCTTACGTTTTCTTTGACAGTTTTTTCGATTTTTCTACGTCAAATGACAGACGTTGTAAAATTTTTAGTCAAAAAATAATTATTTCAGACAACGCCATTGTATCGACTGTACACTGTTTGATAGTAGTAGACCGTTTCTCCGCAAGGAAGTGTGGCGGCGCAAGCGCAACATCTAACCACACATCACACACAGATGTCGCTACATCTACACGTGACTAGTACAACTTACCATCACAAAAGATCTAAACTACTGGTATTATTATTTTTGTTATTATACACATTTCGATTCAAGAATTTTATTATCATTTTATTACTTTTCTTGTTATGAATCAGCTAATAAACATTTCCTGTTAATTATTCATGTAACAAGAAATGTTTACAAAATTAAAACGATTTCTAAAAACAAAATTAAAGTTTTAACCAAATAATTAGAAGCAATCAGAAATATTGGACTATTTTGAAATGGATTTTTAATATTATTTAATGAGTAATTTGGAAAATTTCGTTCCGTTATTACGAAAATTAAACGCCGGTAATGCAGATAACGGTAACATTTGAGCGAATATTTTTTAAGAAATTTTTCCTATACACTATTAATTTAAAATTCAATTCACTTTATTTGTATTTAAATTACTCAAATATGATTTTATAATGCAAAACAGGTTTTTATTGTACCAAAATTAGGCACCATTTCTTTGATAATGGGATATATTGATTTTACGTAGCACATAACCTCAATAATGCAAATTTATTTTAGTTAATTCTTATTTTAATCATCACGTTCATTACTAAAATTAAGAGGATTTTAAGGTTTACACATTCAAATAACGTGAAATATATATTAAACATTTCGGTATGGCTACGTTCAAATATTCGGGATTTGGTTATTTTCAAATCAAAATTTCGGCGTTAATTTATTCTAATTGAGTCTAAAAACATTCATGCATCAAATAAGGCGTTTATCAGAGATATCTCAGACATCATTATCATAATTAAATTCGTTTTACAAAAGCTTTCATATCTATGATCACATAACCTTAAAAAATGCTTAATAAATACAATTTTCTTCTTATTTTTGATAGAAGTTACAATTTTAATTGTGTTCTTTTTATTTTTTTGTGCTTTAAATGATTTGTAATCCACATTTAGTAGAGAAACTCTATTTGGGTGATTAGAGTAGGTAATTGTAATCTTTTAGGTTAGGTCTAATTCTGTACACTATCAACTTAAACCGTAAAATTTATACAAATAAAGAAACAATTCCGAGACAGGATGAGAGGGCAAACCGAAGGCGACACTACTTACAGATTATATATGTACAGGAGTGTGTTACGGAATTGTACCTTTATGTATTAAAATAAATCATCTGTTTCCATCTGGCGTAAACCCACATTAGATCAAAAGAGGTCAATAACATCCAAAATTATACCAGACAAAGATAGTTTAATTTGGAATTTTATTTAATTAATAAAAAGTAACCCAAAATGAAAGCTACAGAAAAACTATATTTTATTTTGAATAAAAAAATGAAAAGAAAAACTGGTTTATGTAAATGGGTAAGAAAAAGGATGTTAAATCAAGAAAAAGAAATCATTACATACCTGTAAAGGTTATGTAAGAGAAGCAGGCAAAATTGTGAAATAAATGATTAAAAAAGCAATAAATAATGAAAGAGTTAAAATCTTGTAAAGTATTAAAACATTTCGGTGATGTTAATTTGCGTAAAATTAATAAAGATCCTACCTGAATCAAAGTTGGAATTTCGCAAAAACAGTAACACCATATGGTTAAACATTCACAAAACAATCTCCTTTATGAAAGTAACCACCACTACAGCACACAAGTGCAACAGCAATGTGCACACCAAGAGGGAATGTATGTGTGACTAAGTTCTCATTGGTTATTTTCTTATTACATTTTCCTTTAGGTGTCCCTTTGCCCCTTTTTTTAATAAAATTTTTTAAACGCAAATTTTGTATAAATAGACAGTGACATCTCCCTGATAGAAAATGATTATGACACCTGATTACTTCCACTTATAAAATGTTTAGGCAAATGGGGCATTTAAGGGGCAACTTTGTTTTTTGATTAAAAAAAAAAGGATACGAAGTCTGCGGGTATCTTGGTTGCGGCACCGTAGGCGCCGGTTTCTGGTTGCTCATGTTTTTCCGGGCGATTTTTCGGCCCCCCGTCAGTGCAGCCGCCGCGACTCCGGTCTTCTACAATGATGCATATGTTCACAAATCACATTTGCACACTAAAAAACTAAACGAATGGTGATTCATGTCCTCCGGAAAAGAAAAAAAATTAATAATTAATTATGACGCCGGAACTAAACCCGGCACCCCCGGACAAATTCTTTCCCTAAATTTCTTATTATTATTTTTAAACGAATGTGTATGTATTTACGACGAAAACCACTTGAACTTCTCGTCAACCAAAGGTTAAGTTACGTTTTCAATATGGCGGAATTAACCCAAAAACATGTTTCAATGCCGTGCTGCGGCCACGCGACTTTCGCGTCCGTTCGGGTGACCGGAAGATACGTGGGGACGTCCCGTACGCGCACTACCCTATTCTATTTTAAAATAACGTCACTTTCAAATTAATAAACTAAAAAACTATAAAGGAATAAAAATGACACGCGGCTTTCACGTTGCTACTCGTGCTCGCCTCTAGCGTCGAGTTCGAAAACTAATGCCAGAGGGAAATGTCAAATCTGTCAAAAGAAAAAAACAACTGTCAAATTTTTTTTTAACCAATCAACGAATACATTCTCATCGGTAAGATTTCACCACCCTGTTAATTTATCATCATTAAAAAAAAAATAAAAATGAAAAAGTGATTTGGAGAAACTCGCACCGCAATGATGAATTCAACCAGAACCGACGAAACGTTCAATTTACAAAAGAATTTAGAAACTCAACTTGAACGTCTTGTTGAACAGCTAAACGATTTGGAGCAATGTCGGTGAGGATTTTGCGTATAAAATTAAATATAAATATTAAGTTAATTTTTTATGATAGTGAAGAACTAGAACCCGAGGAATATGAAGAAACCAAAGAAGATACAATTGAACAACTCAAGGAACTTAACAGGAGTCTTGTAAAATTGAGTAAAGGCGATATAACTTTGATTAGTTCTTTGGAATCGATGCAAATGGTAATTTAACCTTTAATATTTCATCTTAATAATATGAATGTATGTTTTTTAAGGCTACAAGGGCAGCTATTTCACAAGCATTTAAAACGCCGGAAGTCATTAAATTATTTGGTAAAAAAGATCAAAAGCAATTACGCGATAAACTTTCCAATTTAGAGCAAAACGTTAAATTAAATTCCGAGCAATTTAATAGACAAAAAGTAGGAACTAAATAAATCAATTAATTTCTTTAATATTACGATTTTCTTGTAGGCTGAAATGTTGACGGCATTAAAACAACTTGGAGAGCAATTATCGCCAGGAGAACTGCAATTTTTGGAGAAATACAGTGAAATAATGAATGCTTTAAAAGATATTGAGTTTGTTGAGGTTGAAAATTCTTGATTATTATGCTTTAATTTTAAAAAAATGATTGGGACTTTTAAAATATATAATTATTATATTGTTGTGGTATATTAGTATTTACCGACTAGTCTATACTTATTATTAAAGCTAAGAGTGTCCTAAATGTATGTGTACAAATATTTTTAACAATAAATGTAATTAAAACAATTTTTTTGTATTTGCAAAATTTATTTTTATCGTTTTCGCCCTGCCCTTGACACTTTTAATTATAAAATAATTTATTATCATTTTTAACGTTTTTATTGTTATTATCACTGTTTGCTTGCTATTTTTATGTTCACTTTTTAAATTTATCTGACAACAAAATTTAAATAGTATTTTAGGGATTTTTAATTTTTTACAATTGGCACCTTTGAAATCGTTTGCAGCCATCTTTAGTATCCGGTTTGTGTCTTTTCCGTGTATATCGCGACCATGACAGGTTTTAGTAAAAAGGTAAACTGATTTTCTTAATAAACCAACCCTTTTTAACGTTCAAATCGGACTCTAACTGCTTCAACTCCATCAATTCTTCAAGTTTATTTACTTTGCGTATTTCAAAACCGAAAATTTAACATTTTATTTTGATCTTAACCTCACAAATTTCTTTACACGTGTTTGGTGTGTATGTTTTAGCCTATCTTGATTGATGCGAAGGGCCACCTTTTGGGTCGTCTGTCCGCAATCGTCGCAAAAACTCTTCTTCAAGGAAATAAAGTCGTTATCGTACGATGTGAACAGTTAAATATTTCTGGAAATTTTTATAGGAACAAACTCAAGTATTTGTCGTTTTTACGTAAACGATGCAACGTGAATCCCGCTCGTGGTCCTTTCCACTACAGGGCCCCATCAAGAATCTTTTGGAAAACTGTACGAGGTGAGATAATTTATAAAAAAAATTCCATTTTGATATTGTTTGTAATGATTAATTTTTTTATTTACCTACATTATTTGAATGAGAAATGAGAAATAAAATTGGAATGAACATATATTTTTATTTAATTAAAGTAGTCAGTTTTTTTTAATTAGTAGTTATTGTTAATCTTTTTGTTGTTATAGGTATGGTACCACATAAAACGGAACGTGGAAAATTAGCTTTGCGTAATTTAAAAGCTTATGAGGGTATCCCACCTCCATATGATACAAGAAAAAGGGTTGTTGTACCCGGGGCTCTTCGTGTGGTTTGTTTAAAACCAGGTCGCAAGGTAAAAAAATAACATGACAGGAGATTTCTTGGTTACAATTGATTCATAGAACAGTTTTTTGATTTTGATTTGTGTTTGAATCTAGTCAGGAGCGTTTTATTATTAGGTTATTATTAAGAGTCAATGATTACATACATTTTTACCTACATTATCAGATAATATCATGATGCAAACAATTTAATGAGATTTTATTTAAATTTTTACAACATTTTTCATTGATTTTATTACAAAAAATATAATTTATTACTTCTCTTGTAGTTCTGTCATGTTGGACGTTTGTCGCATGAAGTTGGCTGGAAATACCAATCGGTCGTTAGGACTTTGGAGACGAAACGCAAGGTGAAGGCGGTGCTCAACATCCGTAAACGTGATAAACTGAAGAAAATCACAAAGGCCGCCACACAAAAGGTGGAAAAACAAATTGCACCTTACACAGCGGTTATTAAATCGTATGGTTATAATTAATATGTTTTAAAATAAAGACCTACTACCTAAATTATAGACAATTTTTTATTTCTTCCTTATTAAAAGCTTTAAAATAAACTTATTTAAAAGAAATTTGGATTAAATTGACAGATTAGAAAAGATTTAGACCATAGATAGCGCCACATTGACATGGCGGTTAATTTAAAATTTATTTAACTTAATTTTCTTATGATTAAAAAAAGAAATGTTATCTACATCATTAACTAATTATATCTTTATCTTATCATATTAAAACTTTATTTAAGTAAATAAAACATTAAAAATCTATTTCTATAAATTCTGATTTAATTTAATTAACGCTGTCATTTATTACATTTATAACAATCCAAATTTTTTGTTATTAAGAATTGTCTTTGTTATTAAGATCTATTTTTAACTGTCAAATTTCGTTGTCAACTAGCTGTCAAGTGTTTGTCAAAAAAGAAGGTTGGTCGTTTTCTTTTTGATATGATTCAGGTAGAGTTCGCGATCGCATCGTTGTGAGAATATGGCTGCGGAAATAAAACCAGCGATGCATACGAACGAAAGATTTTGTACAACGAAAAAACCGCAATTACTTGTAAAATTGGAAGGTTGTAATGATGAGGTCAACGCGGCCGTTTTATTACCGGGTGAAGACGGTGTTATTAGTGTGTCTGATGACAAGTAAGTTGTAAACAATTTCTTATCGTTTTCAATAAACTTTTAATTGTTGCATTAATTAGAACGGTTAGAGTATGGTTAAAAAGAGATTCGGGACAATACTGGCCTAGCATTTGTCAGTATATGCCTAGTGGAGCTACTTCATTATGTTACACCTCCGAAACACGACAATTATTCATCGGACAAGAGAACGGTACAGTTTCTGAATTTACTTTAGCGGCCGATTTTAATCGAATGATGCCTACAAGAGAATATTTAGCCCATCAAGCAAGAGTCACTGATATAATTTTCGCATTAAATTGTGAATGGGTACTTAGTGTTAGCAGGGACAAAGTGTTTTCTTTTAATTGTACCCAAACGGGAAGGAATATTGGAATTTATACGGCGGAAGCTTGGTGTACAGCTTTAGAGTAAGATTATAAACAATTATTTATATGTTATTGATAATTAACAAGATTTTTTTTTGTAGATTTGATAACCAAACCAAACATGCTTTTGTGGGTGATTATTCCGGTCAAATCACCATGTTAAAATTATCAAATAATGGAATAACTGTCATAACGACCTTGAAAGGTCACGCTGGATCCGTTCGTACTTTAGCTTGGGATGCTGATCGCCAAATGTTAATTAGTGGTTCGTTTGATCACACTGTTATTGTTTGGGATATTGGTGGTCAACAAGGAAATGCATACGAATTGCAAGGACACCAAAATAAAGTAATTAAATTAAATATACTGGGTGATTCACATAAGAGCTGACACAGAGCAGGGACATGTAGAGGACAATAAATTAAGATGATTTAATGTAACTTACCTCTATACTAAGTTGCACCCCTGAAGAGTTATAGGCCTTCAAAGTTGGGTCTTAAATGTTTAAAGCATTCAATATCTTTGTAATACATTAAGCTAGGAAAACCAAATTTGGTATATGTTATGAGCGTACCAAGGGTATTAATTGGTAGCAAATTTAGCTCAATTGAGGCATTTCAAAGGGTTGATTAAGGGTGATGGTACCCTAAATTTTGACAGATTTCTGAAACCTTTAGGCGGATTTAATACATTATTATTTCATTTCATGTGGAATCTAATTCTAAAACTTTTTTTACTCTTATTATTTTTTAAAAAACTTTGCCATTTTTATAAAAAACTCAAATAACTAAAGATTCGTTAATGTTACTTAATATAAGCGAAAATTCAATAGTCAGCTATGAAATTATATGTCAAACTTGACAAATAGGTTATAAAGTTATTTGACAACAAGGCTTTATAACCTATTTGTCAAGTTTGACGTATAATTTCATAGCTGACTATTGAATTTAGTTATTTTTGTGTTTTTTATGAAAACGACAATGTTTTTTAAAAAATAATAAGAGTAAAAAAAGTTTTAGAATTAAATTCCACATGAAATGACGTAATAATGTATTAAATCCGCGAAAAGGTTAAAAAAATCTGTCAAAATGTACCATCACCCTTGATCAACAACCCTTTAAAATGTCACAATTGGTCTCAACTTGCTACCAATTAATACTCTTGGTACACCTATAATATATACCAAATTTGGTTTTTCTAGCTTAATGTACTACAAAGATATTGAATATTTTAAAAATTGAAGACCCAACTTTAAAGCCTATAACTCCTCAGGGTTACAACTTAGTATAGAGATAAGTTGCGTTAAATCATCTTAATTTATTGTACTCTACATGCCCATGGTCTGTGTTGGTTCTTATGTGAATCACCCTGTGTCTTATTAACAATGATAAATATAAAAATGATTTATTTAGGTTTCCGCATTATGTTATTTAAATAGTACGAAACAATTAGTAAGTGCAGGTGAAGATGGTGTTTTAGTATTTTGGGTCATGAATCAAAATAGAAAAGAAACGCCTGTATGGATCGAATCGGACAGTTGCCAATTGTGTAATCGTCCGTTCTTTTGGAACTTTCGAGCTATGATGGATCAACGTCAATTAGGATTGAGACAACATCATTGTAGACATTGCGGAAAAGCAGTGTGCGATAGATGTTCATCGCAAAAACTTTGTATTCCTATTATGGGATTTGAATTTGCCGTTCGTGTATGTGAACCATGCTACCTCACGTTAAAAGATGTAGAGTAAGTTTTTTTACATCCATCACCTTATTTTTTTTGCAATTATTTTTTTTTAATCATTAGTAGACCATCTTTAGCGACTTTCCACGATGCTAAACATGCAATAGTAGCGATGTGCATTGATGAAACTAGGAATAAACTGCTTACAGTTGGTCAGGACCGTGTGATTAAAATTTGGGATATTTCAGCGTTACTTTGAATTAAGGCTCTAACTGTAAATATACTGTTAGGTGATAAGTATTTTAATATTAAAATAGTCGCCCCTGTTCCCCTCCTTCCATACGCTATGAGATTTGTAAAAAATGAAAAAGTAAATGTTTCAAGGGCTATGAAATAATTATTAAAACCATAATTGTTATACCTAACAAAAGAAATTTTGCATATTATCAAAAAAGATAAAATTAATCGTGCTAATAGTTAGAAATGGGACATTTTATGTGTACAGATAGTTGTAAGCGTCATATCTTGTGTAATGTACCTTTACATTTATTCAAATTATTATTAGTTTATATTTATAAAATTTTAAAAAATATGTAATAGGGATAATCTATGTATATGATTCATTTAATTAATTAATCGCTTTTTTTAGACATTTTTGTATCAAAACATTACAAACAGATGGATTTATTACTAGTCTACTTCAGTGGTAAGTTTCTTTAAGTGTACAGGTTTTCTTTTAGTTTTTCAAAAAGTAACTCAAAACCTGTATACGAACATCTTATTAACAAAATTAATCCTATAATTTAATGCATTTGTACAACATATAAATTGTGGATAATCTGGCACTTATATACAAAGAAAATTAATAAATAAAAACAATTAAAAAAAATTTAACTTATTTTTTTATGTCAAAATATTTTTAGTTTTGAATTTACCGCCATTATAACGAAACGAAAATACCCTAGAAATCCGTTGATTCTATTGGCGAATAAGCGCATCCTGGTGGTATTCGCCCAAATCAATTTTTATACAAATTGAACTGGCCAGAACTCGTAAAAACTGTCAATGACAATTAAAATTTTCTCGAATTTACATTGTAATTTTTGAGATTTTGTTTAAAATCTCATTTATTTTCATTAATAAAACGAAGCGATGCGTAACCCCATTAATTAAACTTCCCGCAAGAATCGACATCAGCTGGACGAGTACATAACCTTAATTTTGTTTTTTAAGTTGTTATTTTTGGTTATGTTCCTCTGATTGACTGTTTTATAAACGTAGGATGTGGCCCCTTTTACTTGATATGACCAAGGATGAGAGTGTACAAAGTTTACGGTGTTTAGGTAATTAGATTTTATTGATTAAAAGTAGTTTTTTCCTTTAAAATAACTTAACCTAATTTAAAATGTCAATTTCTTTTTCAATCAAATTTGATTAGAATTAGAAGCGTATGGTTGTTTAATCAGTGCTCTAAGAGCCCAAGGACCTTTAAGCCAAGATAAATTAAAATTACTTAGAGATGCTGGAATTATACTAAATATTTCCCAAGATAGACATAAAGCCGAAGTTAGAAGAGCAGTTAATGACGAAAAACTAAATACAATTGCATATCAGTACGTTATTTAATACTAAATTATTTATCTTTATCAAATTTTTAAATTTTTTTTATTAGTGTTTCTGGTCAAAAAATCACAACGGAAGAATGGGCGTTAGAGGGACGCCGTTTAGTGCCATTAATGCAAAGGGTCGTACCCCAAACCGCTTATTCAGCCATCGCTGATGAAATGGCTGACATTTCTAATAAACACAACCGTCAACTACCTAACCCATCAAGCACAGAACGTAAAAGACCCGCGTCCAGTACAAGTCCTATGAGTATATCCGATATAAATAAAAGTACACCTTTTAGAAATACAGAAAATTCGATAAAATTGGAAGATGGTAAAAAAAGGAAGTTACCTATTAATTTAGATGGCCCCAGTTTATCCCCACATATAATGGGGCCCCCAAAAATGAGTAGAATTCAACAAATTTATAGGTAAAGTAATTAATAATTTGATTAACCCCAAATTAAGATTAAATTTAGGTATAATGCAAGAAAAAACACTTTTTGTGACGTCAACAACCATATATTTTTGGTTAAAACGCATATTTTTGGGTGAAATACGATTGTTTCTTAGGTTTTACGACGCACAATGGCTAAAATGTCGGTGTGGGTTTGTTAAAAAAAATGTTACATTTGGATCCATCTAATTTACTGATCTTTTTTAGAATTTTGTGTAGAAATTCGACTTTAAGTTAGGTTAATTAACATTTAATATAGTGCGAAGTTTCGAAATGTTGGGTTGGGCATGGAAAATAAAGAGATTTTTGTGTTTTTGTGTTTTTTTGTCTATTTTGACACAGTGTCTTTTCATAGAGTGTCTTTTGACACAGTCTATTGATATCAGGGTTGGGCATAATGCTTTAAAAAATAAGTACAATAAACTTTTCACTATCACTACTTCCTCAGTGGTAGTTAAAACACGAATTTCATCATTACTGAATATTCAGTGATAGTGGAAACAAATTACATTATCACTAAACTTTTAGTGATGGCGAATAAATAGCACTACCACTAAATATTTATTATTTATTTGATAATGAAAACTTTTAGTGATAATTAACATTTTTCAGTAATATAACACTGCTTCTAGAAGAATAAAAGTAAGACTATACATATAAGCTGAAGCAGTATAAGGAAATGTATTCAAAATAAACCATATTACCCAGAGCTGTTACAAGTACAAAGGAAAAGTACTCCCAGTAACCAGTACTAGTAGCGCTATAAATTATTTTTACTCCAAGTAATAAGTAACAAGTGTTTTTAAAAAGTACTTGGAATAATAAGTAATTTTACTTGAAACGAAAATTTCAAGTACCCAGTACAAAGTAATTATAACTCTTGAATGTACATATATCTTGTATTTTAACTCTTACCTTTTAAATAATTCTCCTGTACTGAGTAATCACACGCGGTAGAACAGTTTTATTCACCTGCACTCAGCACTATGAGCTGCACTAACTTGAAATAACTCGCGTCGATGCTGCGCCGGCCAGACGCCAATAACTTACAAGATTAAATACGTTTCTCTGACCGTAACTATCAAAACTTCTTATTGAAACATCAAAAATACAAACTGCGAATTATTTTGCATAATTTAAATTTTGAAATAGTAAAGAGATGGGATGGGAATTAGGAATGAATCGAACACTATGTACAGGGTGTCCCAATTTCGATGTCCGCATAGGCTATCTCCGAAACTAAAAGAGATAGAAAAAAAGTAGCTTACTTGTCATGATCTCGTTTTTCGAGAAAATGCTAATGCCGAAAACTCCGAACAGCTATCGTCTTTTGTTTTCGCCCTATCGGCAAAAACTGAAAATTTTACAAAAACGATAATCGCGAATATCTCACTTATTATCAAAGATGGAGTATTATAAATAAAACATTATATGGGCAACTTTTTACGAAGAATTCAGTGGCGTAGGTAGAATTTTTTTCCCATCTTTTATTTTCGAGATTT